AGAAACAAAGGGCAACAAACTGCTCGAGGTCATGGTGTGCGCTGACAAAAGAACACATCTTTTTGCCTCCTCCTCATCTCCCTTCTTGCGTAGCTTTTGTCGCACTTGTTTGTACAAAAAGAGAGAGGAAGTGCTCAAAGCATGTGGCAAATCACTGCAACTTCGCTCGTACTAGACGGATTCAAGGCTTTTTGCGGCAGTTGATTCGCGAGGCAATAAGCTCTTTCAATCAGTCCAATTGACGATTACATTGAAAATTTCTGCAGGGCCCCTTTAATATCTCAGTAATTATTACTTATTTTATGGAAGATACATGTTATGTTACAAATATTTTCACACCACTTAAGTTTGTAAATCATACAAGAAGAAATCACAAAGCTGAGAAAATCTTCGTATTGGCCCATATTGCAGCTAAATTCACACGTGGTGCTTCAACTATATATCATCTATATACCTCAATTGAAGGCAAGTAGTTCTTATATTTAGGAAAGTGTAAATTGAAGAGCTCATTTTGTTTGTTAGACACAATAATAATGAAACTAATTAACATTATTTCCAGGAAAGTATAGGGGTTGTTCTTAGAAGTAGTTGTGAAGTAACTGTGAAGAAAGAAAAAGTGAAATAAAAGATGACTTGTCACTGGCAGGGCTTACGTGGCAACTTTTATGATTAACGAGCCCTTAAATTTATGCAAGTTTTACCCTGCATTTTTTTGTTTCAAAGGAATGCTGAGCAAAAATTGCAGAAATTAACAAAACTTCGTAATTCTACTTGAAAGATGCGACTGTTCTAATAAACAGAGTTAATTTTTCATATTTTCGAACAGTTGGCTGTGCTTTTTATGGATTGCCTGCGCGCGGGAGCTGTGACTTCAGATTTGCCGAGGCGCTGGCAGGGTGCACGAGTTCCTGTCTTTCTCTTTCTTTTCTCCACCTCTCCTTTCATTCCACTCTCTCTCTTCTTCAAAAGCGCTGATGCTTTGCCTCAGCCGGGAGCATTCTTTGCCACCGGCGCTGTTCATACCGGTTCTGGGAACCAGAGAGGGAGATGAGCGAGTCGAGAGATACAACGGCTGGCATTGTTTACTTGCCCGTTTTAGGTGGGTTTGACATCGGCAAAGGTCGCCTCCTGTAGTTCACAGCGTGGTCGCTTGACGCAGCAGTTTGTAAAAAACGTGTTAAATTCATTATTTTCCGGTAGTTTCTGCTTGGAATGAAGGTTCTCTCTATTGATTCAGGACCCAATTATTTAATTTGGTTGAAAATTTTGGCGGAAAAAATTTTGTTCAGTATCTTTTTAAAAAACAATTTGCAAAGTTCCCAGTTGATGGCAGTAGCGAACTTCAATGAGGAAGCTGTCATATAAACAAATGGTAGATAGCCATCAATGCAGAACTTCAAAAATGGTCTTCCTTAGAACAAAAAAATGTGATGAAACTTGGAACATTAGAAGAACTGCATATTTGCTTTTGATTAAGGTATAAACCTCATTTTTAGTTGAAGCACCACATTGTGTGAATTTCCTCTCATTGTGGATCAAAATCAAGATTTTTTCAAATTCTTGAGTATTTCTCAGCAGATTTACAAACTTCTGTGGTGGAAAAATATTTTTAAGTCATGTATACCTTCCATTCAGCAAGTATTATTTGCTGAAATATTTATGCATTTTGCAGTTTAAAAAAAATGCAAACGTAGAAAATTTTGGCGAGAATTCTGGTGGCAATCATGGCAAAAAAATTATGGTAATATTATTGAGCTTCCTTAAACAGATGCCTTTACTTAATATTGAAACTAAATTTAGCATCGGAATAAAAACAGTACTCTCAATGAATTTGCTGATAAACAGCACTCAGATCCAAAATTTGGAAAAAGAGCACATGACCGAAACTTGTTTATTTTAGAAATATATCGATAATTTTTGAAATTCACTATTGTCAATGCTATAAACAGCACAATATTTTTTCATACATTTGAGATGGTTGCCAAACTACTGTGACATCGACGTGGAATGACTGTAGAGATAATTGTGGCTGCATGGCTCAGGACATGGGCAAGCAGTAAGACAGGCAAAACTTGCTGTCGCTGTAAAACAATGGGGACATTTTATTTTAAACCAAATAAAGTGAGATCGGCAGCTTCAAGTTATCAGAAAGTTTGCTTGACCCCTTTGCAACACTTGGAACAGGCCATTGTAACTGCCCGGGCACCATAAGTTCTTTGCTTCCCACTCAGCAATGTATAAAGCATTGAGAAAAAGGTCGAGAAATCTTGCCGCCATCAGTACCACCCTTGCCTGTTGTCTCAAGCTTGTTGCCTAAGGGTTCCTGTGCAGCTGCAATTGGTCATATGAAATAAAACTTATTGCGACATCAAGAACAGTGTTGGTGTTCTATACTAGAGCTTAGGTGACAACAGTGAGCAGTTTGTACGGGCAGGAAACTTATTTAGGTGGAAGAGATGCAGGAAGTTGAATGCAAAAGTGAATGTCTGGCTACAGTATTCAACGAATGTGGTGCAATGTAAAGACACTGTGCTGTTCTGCTACTGTACTTCAGGAACTACGATGGGGCCATAAATCATTCAGATGAGAAAACTGAAAATGGAACTGCTCTCCTTACACAATTCTGTGACAGATCTCCTTGAAGCCACTGCTGGCACAGTTTGCTATTCCTAGTGGCTTTCAAAGTACACCACAAGATACTGCTGCTCTTCCTGAAGTGTTGTTTCTATAGGGAATAAAAATAAATTGTATCAAGTTGTGCAAACACATCTGTTTCATCACTCTACTTGCCTGCCTACTGATAAAGGCAGCTGCTCACCCAACCTTGGAGTGTGCGTGAGCAAAGGTAAACAGAGAAACTCTGTAAAAGGGCAGCGAACATTAAAGAAGTACTTATTTTTTACATCGGTACAAAAGAGCCCCACATGGAATGTTTTAAATGAGCATAGTGGGTCTCTTGTAAGAGCTGATGCAGTTGCTGTCTTGACCTTAAAAGGTTCCTGATATGCATGTCATTGTGAACACACTGCTTGAACTTAAATGAAACACGAGCGCATTACCAAGAGGCATTTATGTATAAACACGGATCTAGCAGTAGGATGATGTGGCATAGCTCTATTGCTGTTTGCTAAATGAATTCTTATGAGCATGCAGGTGACACAAAAAAACGCAGCAATTTAACTCTCTAGAATTGTGTGTTGATGTGTTGTGCTTCTTGAATTTGAAGTATAAGAAGTTGCATATTAGTCTCTGTCAAGAGTATTGACATATAACATGCAGGAAGCTTCAAAAACTTTTTGTATGAAAGCCTGGTGCTATAACAATGTCTCTCAAGACATACTTTTAACGTTTGTGGGAGATGCAGCACCTCCTCTGTTACCAGTGTAATAAGGAATGTTTAGCATATAACCCAACATAGTGCAAGTCCACATTTAAGCAAATAAAAGCGTAGGCTATCACTGTAATTTTGTCTAACCTGAACAAAAAATTATCTTTTGGGAAGTTGGTAGACCATGCTTGCAAAAAAAATATGTCGGTGGCACCGATGACATATACTGGGGCTAGGACAGCTACTAAAGACGCACAAGCCCTACTTCAAGAAGTGTTGAACAATATTTAACAAAAGTATGAAGTTAAGAGCAAATGCACGCATAAAGGTAGTATGCTTAGGCCAAACACCGTTGTCTTCCAACAAACGGCCGAGGCCAAATCTCTAGTAAGTATTGGGAAAATGCCAATTGCATATAATTTTGTGTTCGGCTATGAGAGCTTAGTCATAAAATTTTATGCATTGAGCAGTAGGAGACAGAAAGAGAGGGACAGGGAAGTTGAGCAGTGGCTATGTGTCGCTGCTGATCCAGTATTGGTAAAACTAATTTTATAAGTTGCAGTGTTGAGTGGTATAGCAAACAGCATTATGAAAGGTCTCAATGGCAAACCTCTGTCAGTATAGTATGTAGCACATGTAAAGCCAGTTAATGATACAAGCCAGCCCACTCATAACAAACATCGCCGTGCAGGATGCGTTCAGTATAGCCAACCATTTGGAGTAGGTTGACGTGCATGAATAAGGCAGAAAAATGGCAAAAACATTCTTTTACATAATAATAGGCGAACTTGTTTCGCTCTTTAAGACTCGACAATCACCATTTCTGCATTTTTTTGAAGCAAACACGAGATCATTCTGCTTGTTCTGTTGCTTTAATGGCTTGATGTACTAGGCTAGGCTAATGTGTTTACACATGGTGATATCAGCTCTGCAGTCTCCTCTAACTTTGCCCCATTGTCAAGAAAGCCTTGCACCTCACAGACTGTTTGTTCATATTTATTGACAGCGTTATTGAATCAAAACTAATCAATGATGGTAGATTACATTGTAGTTAAGTGATGCACGGTCACAAACCCACAGATGAGTCATCACTGCTTCTTCACTCTGCCTTCCCAGACTTTCCTGCCTCACACAAAAATCTGGCATTTCGAGCAGTTTGAAGCAAGGCACAGTAAGCTCAACCGAAGACATAAGCTGAATAGCGGGCATGCGGTACGATTGGTGCCTTATCGAATGGCAGCAGCACTTGAGCATTCGCTCTATGGGAGCACATAGCGACGATATGTTTATTTCTAGAGTAAATTGCCTTGAAATTGGGGACTATCTTGTTACGTTGACAGCGTGACTGTTGGATGCAGCAATGGTGATGAAGCTGACAAGTTGTCATCATGCAGTAGGAGATTAGGAGCACTTCTGTTGTCTTGAGCAGCCGCATTTGCTTGTTGATCCCACAAATGCAAGCAGACCAGTTTCACTCAACTGTGCCTGTGGCAGTTCCCCCTTCATGGCACTTTCATATTGTTGCCCTCTTGTTATAACCATATGCTAATTACACTGTGATGTTATACTTTACAGTATCATTAATATAAAACTTGTATTTTTTTAAAATGTTGACAGATGGCAAGCCCTAGTATGTGGATGACACCAGAGTGCGAAATGAGTACACAAATAATTCTGTGTAAAAACTTTTATTAATGTCCAAAATATGAGGTAAGCATAGACTAAATATGTACGAAATACCCTTACCAAGAAGCACTAACAGACTGCTACCTTGAAACATTAAAAATGCAAAACAAGTCGTCATCGCCCACTGCCTAAACACTATGCACATGTACGCAGTCAGATACAATATACATGAATAGTTATTCATTGAAGCATCAGATGGAATGAACAATAACTTGTGAAAGTGGATGACTAGACAAATCTGCACAGTCACAACTAACAAACATTTCAACGTAAATTTACACGCCCAAGAAAAGTGCCTCCAAAACACGACCTGCCAGTGTAACAAGGGTGTGATATATATATATATATATATAAGCACTAGCGTAATGCATTACATAATTTTGGATCACTTTAAAATAGAGCAGGATATAAAAAAGGTTAGAAAAGCAACAGCTTTGCTAACCCTTGGAAAAACACATATTGTGTCTGTGCACATACACTGAAAACAATGACTAAAGAAGACTTCGGAATGTAGAGTACAAGAATAGTAAATCAATGCCAACAATGATCATCGATCTCTGGAGGCAGTCAAGGCACATGGTATTTCTCTGGGAGTCATCAGGGCATTGATGACAGAGGGACACTTAAACGCCAAGTCAAGGTTAGAGGCCACAAGCAATTACTAAAACGGGATTGCTTACACTCTAAACATGTGAAACCACTGAGCAGCTTGTCCTTCCCACTACAAATTTGCTGAGCTGAGAAGCAGCAGAAATTTTATTACTAGAAGCAAGTAAAATTTTCAGTGTAGAAAAAGTATCAAATATTCACTGATCGTTGCAATACAGATGCAAAATATATTGCAACATGCAACTTTGAGGTCATCACAAGGAAAAATATCCGACACGTAACACAGCATTTTTTTTCTTTTAAATTGTATAAAAAACCCAAACAGTTTGTCTTCTTAAAAATATTGATATCTGTGTACAGAAAACTAATTTTCCATACCAAAATTGAGGAGGGGGGGAGGGGGGTAGCCACAAACGGGACATTATGTGACACCTGCTGCTTTAACAAATGTTGGCCCAGAATCATGATGAACCCCAACTTGATGGAGTGAAAAAATAAACAATTTTTAAATTGATGACCTTGAAAACATTAGTTAAGTCAGCACATCTGTCCCTCTGATATTATATCATATCTACTTCTCCCTTTATTTTTTTCTTGTAAGCCAAGGTTAAATAAAATGAGCTAAAATGTCAATGCAGCAAGAAACAGCTGATGGATCACTAAAGCCATTTTTCTTATAATCTCTACCATTGCATAGCAAATATAAAACTTTTTGTAATGCTGAAAATACACTACAGATAGCAAACCACTTGCTAAATTTTAAGTAGGTAGGCCTGGCCTCCACACTTGTCCTGGACTACTTTTGCTCATGATGGCAGACTTGTAATCTAGCACAACCATTATATGCTCATAGCACAGTTAATATTTTGCATGTAGATTGGAAAGCTTTGTTCAGTTTGCACAGCATAATTCATATACTATTGCAGTGATCTGGAAATGCTGCAAAGTTACCTTTTTGGAAACACTATCCGCATTACTACAACCACACTACGAAAGAGCCACTAGAGTCTCTGGAATTTCCTATTTCTGTACGCATTGATTTTTAGCTCTAAATGCTGTTCTCTTTTTTCAGTCACATCAGGGCATTTGCTTTTACACAGAGAGCCTGCCCTAACAAAAATTCATTTCATACAGAAATTTATGAACAAAGAGAAAACTGTCATCAGCAGGAATGCGGAAATACTACTAGACGAAATGTCAAACAGAACTTTTGAGTCCCAGAATTCAATATTGCACAGCTGATGATAACACAGAGTTACCCCAACTCTTGCATATCACCTTCCTGCAAAGTGGCAAGCAAGACAGTGCCATCCAAAGTTATCGAGCAAATTAACTGAACTCGCTTTGTTAAGCCAACTTGACAAAAATTTTCTCCTTCTTGATTTCTAGTAAATGATTATTGGCTCCTACAACAAAGGTCATCAGCTTGTTATTTTTTTTCTAGCAGTGACATGAAAGAAAAGTGTTTTGTTCTTCAGCTGATTTATTAACTTTTGTTTTCTTGTGCATCTGCGTTACATGCATGGAATCTTGAAAATACTCAGCTCATTTTCCAAATAAGAAAGCTACAAGTTGCATAGTTACAATGCCAGATAACACACTTAATGTATTAATGTACATGCACTTTTGCAATGTTCCTTTGTTCACTTACTATCAGTGTCATTATGAGGCAATATGTGATGATCAGGTGCTTTGCCTATTTGAAAGCTGCCTTGTACAGTAGGTCTGCATTTGCAAATGGCGTCACATGTATTTGGGGAGAAAGAATCTGCACTTCTATTTTGGTCTCATCTCTTACCCCTTACAAATTACTGTTTAAGATGAACAAAAATATTTGACACAACCTAAAACTTGAAAATGTTTTTGTGACTCCACTTTTCACTCACCACTATTAATCAATACTACTCCCAGGGATTCTTGAGAAGTTTCATTGGTAACACATTATCTGCGAACTTTTTTATGAGCTCTATGAAACTTGCCCAGCATACATTTTTGATATCCACCACGAAAGGTATATACATGAAGGGCTGCCTTGAAATATTACTTGAAAACGGTCCGGTGACTTGAAACAATATGAAATAAAATGTCACTGAAGAGGTATTTGAAATGATAAGAAGTTAGGCCAGAACTGCATAACAATTGACCATTTGCAAAAATCTACAAGGCAGCTTTTCTGCAAGGTTGTTCTCCAACCAAAAGCTCTCGTTCACTGACTGCTTTTCTTACTCATTGTGTTTCTGCCTTTCCCCCGCTCCCTTCTTCACGAACGAGAGATGCCTCGTCCGCCATGCAATCCTAAGCTGAGGGTTCCTAGGAGGTGGAGAATAAGTCGTCTAGTCATCCTCGCGTGCCTTCACTGGAGTTAGGAGTGGTAAAAGCACAGTGAGTGAGGAAAGCAGTCTGTGCACAAGAGTTTTTGATTAGAAAACAACAGGGAAGCCACCTTAAAGATTTTTGGAAGTGGTCAATTTCATAAACAAATCGTCACGAGCTTCTATCGGTGACTGATAAAAATTCAGCCAGTGATTACGACAAGTGTACTATAAAATTAAATCCAAACTTTAAAGTTCTCAGTGTAACATGCAAACATGTAATATATGATACTAATGCTTACTAACTTATTTTATAATCTTGTTCAATATTAATTCATTATGGTGCAATGAAAACTTGTCTCATTGTTTTAAACAGCCTACTAACTTGAATTTGTGAAAGATTTTACTTCATTTTTTAAAGGTGACATCTTGAATACAAACTGCAAAGACAATCTTGTAAAAATCACAACTCTCAGGTCACTAAACTGAGCAGACTAGTGCAGAGATATCTTATGTGGCAGTCATGTTATGCCCATGGTAACAACTTGCAATGTTAAATGGTTTTCTCGTGTGAGCTACAGCTTATTATTTTACAGTATAGAACATCACAATCAGAAACAATTATTTATAGTCAATGATCATGGCATTGCGAGTTATAAATACAGCTACAACTTAGTTACATTTACATTTAATTATGTTATAACTAATGAGCCAATCTTGAAACAGGCTAGGCATCTTGAGGTGCTCAACTCAGCTGTAACACACGCTCAACTGAACAAAGTATGGGAACTACAAAAGGTCAAAGCACAAAAAAAAAGAACTTCCCTAATAGGACTGTGACCACATAGATGTTTGTGACTGTTTGGATAGCAGGATGTCTGGCTAACATACACAAAAACGCCAACCTGTTTAGTTATCATGGAACAAGTGTATTCAGTTCATAATTAATGTGTGTAAAGTATGCAGATTAAATCAGCTACTATTGCTCATGTGTTACAAAGTACTTTGTACTACAACCAAATTACAAACTGCTGTGATTAAATATACTTTAACCTGTCTGTCATTTTTTTTTTACATCGTGGTCATCTCATTACTCTGTTTGTTCTTTTAATAAAACTGTGGTCACTTCTTATAACACAAATCTCCAAATAAATTGCTATAGCTTATACTTTAGTTATTGACAACACCTAAGCTCTGGGTGCTTCTTGCATAAGTTCCTATAAAAAAGTGTTGGCACTGCTACATATTTCGTTCTTGTTTACCGTTTAACTGTACAATATGTTGCTATGCTTTCATGGAAGTGTTCGCTCCGTATCAGTAAGATTTATTCGGGTGCGAAAATTACTAGATTGTCTTGGTTTCACACACGACATCTACAGCATTCGGCAAAGCAGCTACTTCCCGTCTACCAGTGCGTCAATCGTGTCAGAAACAAAGGTTCTGCTTTCCTGCACTCATTGGCTGCTAAGTACACTGCATTGCCTCAGAACTTGTGTTAAATAACAGTAGTCAAAGTAGCAGTTAGGACAAGTTAGTTATGCCCTGCAAGAAAGCTTACGATCTGGACAAATAAATAGCATGCAAAGGCAGACGAATTGCCTCGTGTGTCCTGTACTTTTTTTGTGTGTGTTTCTCCAAGCACGAACCATTTTTTTCCAGACAGTAAGCAGCAATCCCCAACCTAAAACTGAAAAAATAAGTGCATCTGAAGCAGGAATGTTCAAGCTGAGAAGCAAAACCATGCGTGCAAATCGCTCAAAATGCGAAATGGTTACAAATACTTTTCCTCGCAATCTCTAAATACATATCTAAATATTAATTCCCGCAAAGGCTGAAAAAAATATTTAAAGTACAGAACCCTCCTTTCTGTAAATTATATCTTTAGAGAGAATATCTAGAGTGTTGCTACTTGTACACAATAAGGAAGTTGACCGCTACAAGCAATACCAGGAAGTACACATTGATATTGCTAATTTTTTGAAGCGCTCATATATTCATATGCAAACAATCACTGAAATACTCCCATGCAATTCTCTAATTGGTCTGAAGCTTAACTGCAATTTTCACAATTGTTTAATTCACACTTCAGAACTTGAAACACTCTATGCTCAACTTGCCACAAAGTAATTCCATGGTGTACTTCCATGTAATTACACACAAAAAAATTCACTGTCATTTGTGCTTCAATTTATGAACACATACTTCAGTGTATAAACACTGCGAAAAGATTAACATATGCATTTCAATGCAGCACGTCTGCTGTGTTGCTGGAAGAAAATTAGGCGTGCCTTCTTTTGCTAATTTGCCAGCATAAGATATGATACAGTGTGTCTTACCAGTGTACCATATTTTGTGCTTGACTACTGTAGCACCAAAGCAGTTTACATAATTTCCCTGGTGCACCACCAAACAACATTTCTTTGCACCCAGTTTTTGACATTGACAAGAAAAACATTATCAGAAGTTTTGTATAACAGTCTCAGTACAACATGCATTTAACTTTGGAACAATTAACTTCCTTCTCTTTCAGTTACTCTTTTTGCACTACAACTACAGAAGCTATGAAAAAGGACGTGGACAAGGCAGTGCTGTTAAAAGAGCGGCATGCTGCCATTCACCGAGCTTGTCACACACACTTTGGGCAGTCTTCTCCAATGATATTGCCATTCTGTGTAACTTGAACCTTGGCCTTGGTAAGAAACCTAGAAAGAAACATGTTTGGCACTGATTCAACTTATAGCCACTATCAGGCACTTGTGAAAGGATAAAAATTACAGTTGAGAATACGGAACCACCTTGTAGTAAATTGAAAAAAAAAAAAAAAAGCCAACAGATTGAATGCAGTAGTCGCATGAAATTTCATGACATCTGAATAAGAACAATAAATGTCCTGAAATTTTTATTAAAGTTGTTTTGTATTAGCATACATTTTTAAAGCATATATTAACACATGCCAATATAATATATAAATACTTAGTGACCTTGAGGTAAGCATTCGAAGGTCGAACAATACCACGGAACTGACTAATGTCACTAACAAACAAATCAGTACATTGATTGCCACGTAGTATTAAGAAATGCTACATATGTAAAGAGCCTCCCTTGTATAGCTTCGTAGTTACAGTTACATCAGGTGATAGGCTGATATTTTCAAGACAACAATTATCACATATCTTAAAAATAAGTCTCGCTACACCAGCTCAAATGCACACGTGAGTAAAAAGAAACTGAGAGCTAAGGTAACGTGTCTTTCGTCAGTGATAAGGTGTTGCCGAACTTGAGCTTCAAAGGGCAGATAACTAGCACTCACTCATCATGATTCAGGCAAGATGTGCACTGGCCTGCAGCAAACTCTCCACCATGGTTTTGAACATCTTTTGGTGTACTTGTGCTCTCATCACCCGGGAAGAACCAGTCCTGCAGCCCGTTTGCAACTTTTCCAGCATTTTTCTTCGTGTGGAGTTCATACAGGCTGTCATCAATCAAAAACCTAAACAAAATTGAAAGATATATGAAAAAGATTAGTCTCGTTCGTCTGACTGATATCTCACTCGCACTGATATAATCAACCAGCATTAGGTCTACCATGGTGATTTCATAGAAAGGACTTGTTAGTGGAGCTTCACTAACTAGCAACCAACTCTAAGAATGCAGCTCATGCAAAAACACAATGAAATAGAAATGTGCCATCAAGATCAGCAGTAGGCGCTGCATAAACTCACCAGTCAAAGAAGGAAAACTGCATTATCGTGCAAAGTAGGGAGCTTGGCAAAAATGTCACATAAAAACAAACAAGCAGTATCCTAGAGCTACATCTTAACTTTCACAATTTAATAATACATTTGTAAATCTTCCCACTTGCTCCATCTAACTGTAGTGACAAAATACCGAGTTTTTACTTCACATGGGAGCTTTATTCATAGTACATACATGCACTACCACGACATATATTAAGAGACATGAGACAGTGGAAGCAGTAGCTTGAAGGGGCACACCCTCTCTGGAGTAATTTGTGCTGCTTCAGCTTTTTAAAAAAATTTAGGGGATGCTTGCACTTCGCCTTCAAGAGTGCAACACAATAGCATAGTCAAGCCCTGCTGACGTCGCTTCCTCGTTTGCTCGCCACGCTTCTCTTCTTGGTGGACACCTCAACCATGCCGCAAGAATAACGTTGGCCATTTTAAATTCTCCTAGAATGCCTAATGCAAGTACTATGAACAGCAAAAGATTGCGGGACGTTGGATCTACAACAAATGCAAATTTCTGCTATATCAGCGTTTAATGCTCGTTATCAAGCTGGTGACTGTACAGGTCAGAACGACAAGTACATTTATTTCGAAATTACATTTCCAGACAAAGCAGAAATTTATCTTTATCAATCATTTTGCATCCCGCGAACCTCTGCCGTTGATAGTACAGTTGCAAAGTACCCACTATGCCATAATTAATCATTTTGCAAATTAGAAGATGAATACCCACTAAGTGTATGTACGGCAAAACATGCAACTACGGAGCTGTACATTTTGTTGATACTGTATCTACTGCCAATGATCAATTATGCTTAAGTGCTACATCATGGGCCGGTTTTTAAGTCACTCACTGGTAGTGTGAATCATGCAGTGCAATTCTGTGCCTTTGCCACGCAATATTGTATGCACTACCAGTGTCCTTCACACTATATGATGCCTGTGCAGTCATTTTTCCCAAAGCAGTTTGAACCTCAGGCATGGCTCTGTGGTGCAATATCTGACTGTCTAAGCTCAATTCTGGTTCAAACCCCCGATTTTTTTTATTGTTTGCATCCAATGCAATATTTTGCTCATGGACAATAACGTCAACACTGATGCCAACGCCAACACTGAAATTTCTGTGAAATGGGCTCTTTAGCGTTCTCGCTTTTAAAAATCTGTCCGCATTTCTTATGCTCACGCCGCTACAGTGGTCTAGTGGTTATGGTGGTCGAGTGCCAAAAAGGTCGGGGGACTAAATCCAGGCCGTGGCAGCTGCATTTTTGATGGAGGTGAAAAATGCTTATGGCCAACGTGCTTAAATATAGGTTCACATTAAAGAACCCAAAGTGGGTGAAATTTCTGGAGCGCTTTATTACGGCATCTCTCATAATCATAACGTGGTTTTGGGACATTAAAGCCCAATTATTATTATGTTTTTGTGCTACTTAACATAGTGAACAAGGCTGTCGCCGCTCTTTCTGTTAGCATTTTTTGTGATATCAAGGCATGGCATACCTGTACCACAAAAGTGGCAGTGGAGCAGTACCCAAATGCCAAAGGGCATGGGCATCAACCAGGAAGCGCCATGGAGGGAAGTCGCCTAGCTCCAGCAAGAGCAGAGCGTCCAGTATGAACACTACTATGATGCCCTTCCACACATAGCCACGCCGCCTATGATGCCAACACCAACTTAGCCAACCAATCGAGTTGAGCAGACCTGCATGAATAGCCCATGCATCAGTGAATACTGCATGTGGAACTGTTACATCTACAGTTCTCAACCACCTCCAACATCAGCAAATAACAAAATGAACAGCATTTCTGTGGGCATATAGACTGCTCATGGAATTGCTTACGAATACTGAAAAGACATGCACTGAGTGTCTCACTAATTGTTATATGACTTATGAGCCACAAGATATGTTGCCATTTAAAGTCAAAAGGCCATAAATGTTTAACATCATGTCTGCACATACACTATTTCGAATGGTTTTTTGAAATCTCAGAAATCTCATTGTTCCAGGGGTGGTGCTCGTGGGTGATGCTGAGAGGGGGGGGGGGGGCAGCTTTCTTCATAATATTATGAACCAACCCCCACACTCCCGTTTTCTTTCTACTCCCTACCCTCCCAGGTGCAAACATATCCAATTGCAGTGCATAAGCCCCAGCCTCCCTGCCCCTGAAGGAACTCGCTTGTTCCAGGTGCCCAATCTGTAAAAAAATATGATGCCGTGCCTGCATTGTTCATGCTTAAGTCAGGAGGACACAGTTAGAATGAAAAGAATAACTGTTGCTGTTACTGAACTTGCCTGTAATCACATTGGCTTTCATGTTGTACCCATAGTCAAAATGCACAAAGTTTAAGTACTGGATATGGTAGACAAAGAAGGCCGCAAAAGGCATGGTCACCGATACGGATAGCCATGTGCTTCTAGTTCCAAGAAATCTGCAAAAATAGTTGGAAGAGTTTGCTGGGTGAGTTGGTACTACATTTTTTTAACAAAAGTGCACTAATTTATTCCATAAATGGCACAAGTAGTAGATGTAAGATTAATAAGCAATAAAGATACCTTACTTTCAAGGTTTCAAACCTACAACCAGTGATATCCTATACTAGTATAAATTTAAGAAGACAAAGTTTGCTACAGTTTCTCCCTACAGCCACAAATTGTTGTTCTGGCATATTTTGAAAGACATAGTGTCCTTCTCTGTTTGAGCCAACAATGTTAGTAAGACGTGGGATTATTATCATTACCAGTAGTTATATACTAGTAATGATGTCATTAATGTGGAGTCATTCATATTATGGGCACCTCAGAAATTCTTTTTTTTTTTATTTGCTTGACAATTTCACCATCTATTTCCAAAGCAGAAAGCATCAGAGCTAAACAGCTTTTAGCATAAACAGCAGGACCATGTCCTGTTTAAATTCTTGTCAAAACACTTCACTCACTCTTCAGTAGCGACACAATTTGAGTCAGATACATTTTCAATCAATCAGTGAAGTAGGCTACTGAAGCCATAAGGTGATTATTCCCACTAAACTGCACGATATTCCTAAACACTTATAATATTATCAATGTAATTTAAAACTAACACTGATGCAAAAAAACGGGATGCTGTAGGGGGACACCCCATAATATAGCAAAAATCTATGGAGTAACCACCTGGCAGATGCAAAATGCAATTCTTTCGTGCTGAAGCGAAGCTTTGTGCCAAATGTAGCCAAACAAAAGAGTTCAATATTTTTTTTTTCTCCCACGATAAAAATTTTCATAGTGTTGCTTACCTCATACATAAACTGTAGAGCGAGTAGAGCACCACAGAAAAGGCACAGTAGTAATCAAGCTTCTATATGAGAAATGGAAACAATGTTTTGGTAAGCAATCAGATAAAGAAAAATAACCACATCAGCTTCAGAATTGTGGCCAATCAAGCCTATTGATTGTACACCTGAAACGATTTGTCAATGCAGGAAATAAAGACACAAAATGAGACATGGGACGCATGCTAGCCCTCGTACGTCATCTCGTGTGATATTTTGTGTCTGTGTTTCCTGCTCTACAAATCCTTTCGGACATAAGATTTCAACAACACACTCACAAACCAAAGCTACCATTATGTGTCTTGAAGCTATCAATGACTCAAACAACTGTTATGTGGAAAGTTAACTGTTTATACGAATACTGAAAGACACAGGGCCATTCGAGTAATACAAAGACAACTTAAGAGTGACTTGTGAAGTAGTTACAAACAGTCCTTTCAAATTTTTTACCAAATACGCCACAAACTGAAATTCTCACTCCTAATACAATGCAAACAGTGAGGAGCTTGTAAGCCTTTTAATTCATGACAACCAGTGCTTATGAGATCTGCTCAATAGGCTCAATGTTGGTGATGTCATCGCCAAAAAAATGTAATATAAATTTTCTGTTGAAGCATTATTGCACCACAAGCTGCTGGAGCAGCAGAAATGCATAAGAAAGTGGCAGTAATGAATTTGTTTTAATCAATACACTACACTAAAGGACTGCTGGGGGACAGCAATTATCAGATAGTTTCCAGGTAGGTAAACTGGCAACACTTCTTGGTGCATTCATGTTCACTGTACTTCGCTTGAACACTCCTTTAAATAAGGCAAGTTTAAGTCCGACATAATTACCTCAGTAAGTGGAGTGTCCCTAGCATGAAAGACGGCCGACCAGAACCAGGCATTAATCGATAACTGGAATGAAAACACAACATAGTGACAAAAGTGTTCCTTGCTAGGACTATATGGCACATTCTTAAAGTAAGAGTTCATCTCTTTTTATGAAAAGAAACTTCAGCTTATCTTTATGGTACAGAAAGTCAAGCGCTGGCTAGAAAACTAAAGCCAAATGCAGTAGACTACCCATGATTAACAAGAGAAAAAAGATTCTAAAGACAAGACTTTGGCCTTTTTCTTCATTTCTTGCAAAAACCCCTCGCCTCACCGAATCGCACGCAGAAGATTAAGTAAAAATAAATATGCTTTTCAGCTGCGTGTAGCCTTTAATTTTATAACTCATCCTATCTTTCGAGACCTGTCCGGTCTCTTCTTCAAGGAGGTCATTGTCTGCCTGGCACCTAAGCTAGCACTTATTAGTGGTTGCCTCTCTCTCCACCATCGTTCTTATTAATGTGTTCTCTCCATTGGTTCCACAGACCGCGTACATACACGCTCGGCAGGGCCCCAGTTGACCAGTGTGGTTTGAACATCACAAAAAGACTGAACGGGTTTAAAAACGTAGGGCCGGTTTTTAAAATTGATAACTAAAGACTAGATGTGGCTGGATAGTTTGTTTATTCTTATAATATTACCCGGACAGGCAAATTTTTGTCAAGTATGTTTACCTTCAGAAGAGTAAATATATAGGTGTCCCTTTTGAAAGTACTCGAGAAATGAATACAACGGTTTCTATAAAATGTGACTGACGTAACAAATTCTCTCTCAGGAAGGTTTGCAGCAATGCTCACCACTGCCTGCCCTTTCCAGATGGCATAAAAAGGAGCCGAAGGTGGAACTAGCCTCCTGAACTTGTGCCACATCCACAAGTGGCAGATGCCATTCAGTATTGAAAATAAAACCGATGCCGGCTCCTGGATGCCATAGAACCTCCAGAATGGCCACTGCAAGTTTTGCATACTTTTATCAGTAAGGCAGCTCATGAAATGGCAGATTCCCACTTATGTAAATACACAGCCAATAATGTTTTACCAGACAAGTGGTAGGGCAGATGTGTACTAGCTAATGTCTCCCACACCTCCACAAGTACTGATTTTCAATGGGAAATGCATATTCAATTGTTTTGCTTCTTCATGCGTGACAGATGGTACAAGTGCTGCTGCACAGCCGTGCAACAACATGCCATTCCAGTATGGTACATAAGAATAAATCCATATGATGCTTGTACTGAGCCCTATAAGCATACTTGATTTAGCAAGGACACTAAAACCACTAACATGTTTTTTTGTTGTTCACCTTTTATACCAATCAGATGCTTTGATCGTTATAAAATATGTGACATATCTACCTTCTGAAATGTTGAGGAAAGAGTAGCAGACAATCTTACGTTGCGGTTTATGGCGCAAAAACAACAGTGCCTTTGATGCACCAGAAACAAGCAAACAGCTCCTTTAGTGTCTATTTTTAGCAAGGGACGAATACTACAGTCACTATGTGTTGGATCTGTAAGCCAACAACATGCGAATGCAAAAGCCAGTTGGCTAGTACGAGCTCTTACAGCATGTTTGTAATACTATACGTTACGTTAAAAATACATCTAATGCGCCAAGCAGACGCGAATACGACGCACCAACGGAAAGTGTATAAGTAAAGCTAAGACGACCAAGACGTAACAGCCCAAAGAATACAGAGTATCGACGTCAGGAAATGATACATAATAAATATGATTGAGCACGCACTTTTCCATGAAACTGGGGCACGGGCTTGCCGTTAGCCTGGAGCACGTCCACGGCATGCCACATGCACTCGTGACGGCACTCATCAGCACAGTCCCAAAGCAGAAGAGCCAGATACCACGCTTGTCCCGAGCGAAAGGTGGTCTGTTTCTCCTGCGTACAGTTGATGCCGCGGCATCGCCGCAGACACGACTTGTACTCGGCACTCTGATCCCCCGGTGATGCGGAAGCAACACCGAACAAGCACAGCAACAGCGCAGCCAACGATGCGGCTACCGCAGTGCGAGTGGTGCAGCTTGCGTGCGAGGGTCCCACCATCACTTTACGAAACAATAAACCGCCGCTGGGACGTCGTAGTCCGGCCCATCTTATCAGCATCTCAACTGACGGTGGCAATGGATAGCGCGCGGAGCTGCCGAGTCTCGGCGCCGTGTCAAGAGCTGCCTCGGCAGCTCTCGTTCCAATGCTTCCGTGTTGCTTCGACACGAAAGGACGCTAGGCATGCCACGTGATGTCATTTCTTCTTCACGCGTAACACAGGGAACAATCAGAGCACGTTAAAAAGCGTTATACGACATTCAGTGGCCGATGGACACACCGCGGGCGCGAGGACCATCTCGGGCGACTCGGGGAATGCTGCAGTAGTTGAGAATTCGTTTTATTTTCACTTTCGCTTCCGTTTTGTGCTTTCCATGTTGGCTAAATGCACCATACTTTGTCTCAGGCTACTGGCTAAATAAATGCAGGACTGTACTAAAAATTCTAAAGTTTGTACAGAGTTGACTGATAAGAGTAAAAACGGAGTGGTTTAGTGGCATAGAGTTTCTGGTATGAAGACTTTCACCATAAAATCCATTTTTGTCGTGCGCCGGTGGCGCGTCGAGCGGTTTCGGTTCGGGAGGCGCCGCTGATCCTGTTGTACGGTTTTGTAGTACGTGATTATTGCGGAAGGCCCATTGAACGCGGCCGTTTGCCTGAATCCTTTGTGCAGGTTGTGCGCTATGTGAGCATGGCAGTTTTCAGGCCGTTAGCGACGTATGTGTGGCCAGCTGGCATGCGTTGAGGTCTCGATGCACCACCTTGGCTCATCGACTCGTCGTAGGGGTGCCGAGTCGCCGCCGACTGCTGTGTGGGCTTTCGTGCTGCTGACGACGGTTACCCTGCTTATTTCGTATCGTTATACCTGTGATCATCGCGCTTTTTTACAACAAGTGTCCCCTCTACAAATGGAGGGCTCAGCGCATAGCGAAGAATCCGCGTCCTTGATCGTCGTATGATCTGAGTGGGCCCTGCATTGGATCGATCAATCGAGCGCGATTATGGAGAAACCACCTGTTAACGAGGCACCTATTCTCCATGTTGTCGTCGTTGGATTTCACCACATCAAAGGGTACCAGGTAAGCTGGCTCTGGCGCGACGCGTGGTTGTCAGTGAGATTACGCGTACAGGGACTGCACATGATTGACATAGTTCGAGTGGCCCTAGTTCATCTTTCTTCTGCTATTGCATCACTGGGCAGAAAAGAAAGACAAGACCTCTGTTGTGGAGCGAAATACGTATTTCTCTACCGCACGACCAACGGCATAAGATATGTTGCTTTCACTGTTGCTAGCTCGTGGGTGGAGATACCAACATCTGACCGCTGTACCCGCGGTATCGCGGACTATCTGGCAAATCCGCACAAAACCAGGCCACACCGTGATTTTCCAGGACCGTGTCTTATGTCGGAGATTTTCAGCTCAGTAGTTCAGCAAGTACACAAGCAATGGCAGTTAGAATATCGTGAATCCGTCAAACTCAAACGGATATCGAAATACTGGTACATAGTGACGATGTAAGAATTCTTACACCGTGGTGGCCCTACTTTCTCCAAATCAGTACGGTTTGTCGCTTGAGTACTGAACTATTCTAGTATAACTTAAGCACGGTTAAGTGCATCATGTTCGAAGCTGAATGTGCTATGAAAAATGAAGTGTAGCAGTGCTTAGTGTCCACACAGGCACTCCCGAATACTACCACGTGACAATGGTATTACTGTCAAGTGCATGAAATGATAGCAACTTCCCCAAGAAGGGTACGAGGCTCTGCTCTCCTTTTTCTGTGTACCCTGTTTTGTTTCTGCACTGTTGCATCAGCAAGCATTAATTGATGCTCTGTTTCTCTGGTGATGCTTCAAGTCTTGAGGGCTACAAGCATGAATTTTAGGGCTTGTATAGCATGTCATTGTTTTTCGAGCTCTTGGAATGAGAATTGTTTACATAAAAACTACTGCTGAATGCTGTCAGCACTTTGATGCTTAACTCTAGCCATGTTTCATTTCTGTGCATGCTCATGTTCTAGCTGGAGTACGCGTATCCTCCAATACTTGGAAAAGGAGAGGTGGAAGCCCAGGAGAACCAAGATCTTCCTGAGCCGTGGAAGCACCTTCCATCCCTTGCATTGCCTGATGGTGCTCATAATTATGAAGAAGGTAACACAGCATGTATTCATACAGAAAACGTTATCAGTGCATGTTGGGCATAGACTAAAATAGATTGTACAACTGCCGAGATAACTCAACCAGAGCTAACTTAATTTCCAACACACTAGGAGGATTATGGTAACACGATTTCATATGTGAAACATTGAATGGCTCGTCGAACATTTAGTTCAATCTACTCATTATTTACTTTACATGTTTAATTGTTGTTGTTCATGTTTTTTTCTTGTCACCCAGTGCACTGTCACCCATGATTGATTGATGTGTGGGGTTTAACGTCCCGAAACCACCGTATGATTATAAGAGACGCCGTAGTGGAGGGCTCCGGAAGTTCAGACCACCTGGAGTTCTTTAACGTGCTCCCAAATATGAGCACACGGGCCTACAACATTTCCGCCTCCATCGAAAAATGCAGCCCCCGCAGCCGGGATTTGATTCGCGACCTGCGGGTCAGCAGCCTTAGCCACAAGACCACCGCGGCGGGGCCACTGTCACCCATAGGAATACCTTAGCAGCCAAGGTATTGCGCTCCTAGACTTGAGGATGTAGGTTTAATTACCAACCATAATGACCGGATTTTTATGCGAGCTGCATTTCTGTTAGTGCAAAAGGCAGAAACGGCCGTGCACTCAACTTTGGGCAAATATTAAAGGACACCCACTGATCAAATTTAATCTGGAGTTCTCCGTTGTGGCATGCTGCATAATCATATTGTGGTTTGGCATCTAAAAAGCTTTTGCCCCATATGTTAGTAGTGGAAAAATGTGATGACTGTACACTTTTTATGTTTAGGGGCAGCCGTTAATTGCTTGTCATTATTTGGGAATGTCTGTTGTAAGCACTTCAGCCCATCCTTCTCCTTCATTAAATTTCCTTTGCATGGAAAGGCTCCCCTGTTAATCATTGAACTAGATGTACATCCTTCTTAGTTTTATTTTGTTGTAATTTATTGTAAGGTTTTGAACATGCACAATGCTACAGATTGCACCCCACAGTCATGCTGAGTCTTCATCACTCTTGCGACCAATTCAGTTGGCTTCATAGTATTTGTACGCTGGGAGAAAATAGAAGTGACCCAATTGTGGTGGCATCTAAGGTCAACCAGAAAAGTATGAAGCTGTGCCTCCACGATCTGTGGCCCTCTAGCGAAGGATCGCAGAAGGCGGGGCTTTGTCCCCAGTGCTCTGCAAAGAGATTGAGAAAAAGCATGGCGTGACAGTAGGGTAACCTCCACTCATTCATAGCTCTTCTGATACAGAGTGCATAGCTTAAATTTTGGTGTGAAGGGTTTATCATAGTTGTCACTTAACTGCTTAAATAATAAAAAAAGAACATTTCTGCGACCCTTTTAAATGCTGTAGAATAGTTATGCTGCATCATTTTGAATACAAAGATGTTGAGAGTAGTGAAGCAGTAAATTGCTTTGTCTCTTGAGAAAGCCAGTTCATAGGCATGTGGAACTACGACAATGCATTGTCAATGTGGGTTAGCTATTTGGCATAAATTGCCTTCCTTATGTGTTTTTTTTTTTGGAACATGATTGCCTAAGCTATCACAGCTATACATCAGAATCATTTGAATGAATCTCCATCTGAATCAGCCTCCCCATTAAGACTACAACATTCATTGTCATTTATACTTTGAACCAGCACGTTTCTCACCAATAACTGATATTATTCTTTTCAGTTCAGCTTTGGTTTAGTTTCAGGCATGTACTGAAGATATCACTTGGTTTCATTTCGGGCCAAAATTTGAGCTTGGGTTCTGTTTTTGCTTTGGGTTGAGTTCAACACCCTGGAAATAATTGAAAAAAGCGGAATGGATCGATGCGCACATTTCTTGTTAGACTAGACTATACGAAGCCTAGTGATGATGAAGCCAAGGGATGCATTATTCGTAGCAGTTTTCTACCAACTGAACTATGGTGGCGGCTTTTGCCTTTCCACCTTTTTGGATTCATTGTTTCTGTAACCCTGGAAGTGTTAGCAACATTGTTTCATTCTGTGCCGTGCTTCCCCTCAAAATATTGTTTTACTTGGTTTATTGACTATCTGTAACGAACCATTTTATTATGCCCTAGATGCACAAACATTTTTCACCTTTACTGACTTTTCCACCTGGTACTTGTGATAGCAGAAGGAGGCTAGAACTAGAACAAGAGAACAGGCTCAACAGGATGACTCTTATTGCTCCTGTACCCTTCTCTTTGTACTGCCTCATGTTATATTCGAGTGAAACCATCCAAATCAAGTTTATGAATATGCAGGCACACATAGCAGGAAATTTTGGTTTTGTTCACTTTCATTGGGTGGAAAAGCTGAAACTGATCTTGCAAACTGCATGATAAAAGCAGCATTTACGTTGGCTTATGACAGGTTTATACCTAGACCATTTGACAATATATCATTAGCGGCTGTCTTGACAAGCACCTGAAAGATTGTCGTCATCATCAGCCCTACGTTATGTCCACTTCATGACTAAGGCCTGTCTGAGTGATCTCCAACCCACGCTGCCCTGCGAGTGCTGGTTCTATTTTATGCGTGCGAATGTCTTGACTTTGCTGTTCCACCCTACTGTTCGCCATCGTCAGGTGTGTTTCCCATCTGTTCTCCTGACGTGACCTGCCCAGTCCCATCTTTTTCTCTTAGTGTCTACTGCAGTGGTTCTCAGCCATGAATGTTTCGGAGTCCCCTTATAGACCAGTGGAAGGGATGAGGGACTCCTTGCAGGGAGGGAAAAAAATATAGGGGCAAGACACAGTGGTGAAGGTTGTCAAAGGGTAACACAGCATGCAGCATGAAATAGATGCCTTTTGTTACTTCCTGGCAAAGAATGATCAAACTAAAAGGCCAAACCAATTTGATTTCAAGAGCTTGTCAATAAGCTGTGTTGTGTGCAGCCACGTTTAACCCTTTTCTAGCTATGATTGCTCTTCAAATATGCAAACCTAGAAAAAGCATGCACAGGTGCATGTGTCCTGTGTGTGTGTGTGTGTGTGTGTGTGTGTGTGTGTATATATATATATATATATATATATATATATATATATATATATATATATATATATATATATATATATATATATATATATATATATATATATATATATATTGTAGTGAAGAAGATGAGTGCTACTCAGAAAGGCAGGGGGTATGACTCAGTCGGTGAAGAAGACGACGTTTGGTTGGCTGGGTACTCAGGCTAGTTCCGCCCTTACCACTTGACGTGTCGTGACCGCTTTCCTGTTTCATAAAAGAGTGCCACTCTAAAACGCCTCATTATAATTGGTGGAGAGTGCTGGGTAACGCCTAATCCTAGAATTGTGAAACCGTACGTTGCCTCCAGTTGCTACGATGTCCACGAACGACGATCAGCAGGCGGCCGCCTTGGCCCCAACTACTGCAGCTCCTGTCTGTCTCGGCTCCTTTCGGCAACACGATCCGCCTACCTTCAGTGGAACCGATGACAAAGACGTGAAAGACTGGATCGACGAATACGACCGAGTGAGCAAGCACAATAAGTGGGACGATGCGCACAAGCTTACTGTCATCCTATTTTATTTGACCGACGTCACCAGTCTGTGGTATCGTAATCACGAGAGAGACCTCCCCACCTGGTCGGCCTTCCGAACGGCGTTTGCGGACTTCTTTGGCTGTCCAGCGCTTCGCAAACTACGGGCTGAACAGCGCTTGCGTACTAGGGCTCAGCAGAATGGTGAGAATTACACCAGTTATATCGAAGATGTGGTCGACCTTTGCCGGCGTGTCGACTCGGCCATGACAAAAGCCGAGAAGATCAAACACATCTTGAAAGGCGTGACAGACGACGCATTTCAGATGCTTGTCGCCAAAAGCCCGCAAACGGTAGCGGAAGGGATCCACCTTTGTCAGAGCTATGATGAGCTCTGGAAACAGCGTGACACCACTCGTCGTGCCAACGCGCCATGTGCAACAATCTCCGCTTTAACGTCGGCTGGCACTGCTATAGACCACACCACTTTGCTTCTCGACATCAAGCAATTTGTACGAGAGGAGGTCGCACGCCAGTTGTCCCTCGTGCCTTATACCTCCGAAGGTGCCCCATCTACTTTAGCACCATCAATAGAGCGAGTAGTTCAGGAGCAAGTGTCCGAGGCGCTACCAACAGCTCACGCACCACCTGTGGCTGCTCCATTGACCTATGCCGAAGCACTGAACGGAAGCCGACGTCCGCCTGTTGCGAACGGCCACGTTTCTTTGTCCCGAATGCCTACGTCCACACGCCCCTTTGTCGTACCGACTGAGCCTATATACCAGGCTGCCCGTCCTTTCTCCCGACCATCACCTCCACGCTTTCAGAACCCTTGGGGCACTCAAGACAACCGCCCCATATGCTTCGCCTGTGGAATTGCGGGTCACGTGGCACGATTTTGTCGACAGCGTGAGTTTTTCCTGCGTGACGACGTCAGGCCGAACAATTATGATTTCCCACCACGACCGGAGCCTTCTGTATATGGCGAGACTGCCACCATGGACACATTTTCACCTCGCCGGAACTTCAATAGACTCCGGTCGCCTTCACCTCAACGCCTTCCCTTTCCCCCATGCTACGTCGACCTCGCCCTGTCCCTGAGGAAAACTAGGAGCCGCAGTTTTGGGGGCAAGAACTGCGGATCTTTCGAACTCCACAAGACCTTGTTTTTCGCCGTCCAACGTCGTTGCTGTCTCTGTTGAAGGTATACCTGTTTTTGCATTGGTCGATACTGGCGCTGCAGTGTCTTTCCCGACATCTGAACAAGATTACTTAGAAGGACGTCTACCCGGTACCGGGCATAGACGACGCCCTGGATTGTTTTCACGGCGCTAAGTATTTTTCATCCACTGATCTAAGATCAGGGTACTGGCAAATTGCTGTTGACAATATGGACCGTGAAAAGACCGCTTTTGTCACGTCCAATGATCTTTAGCAGTTATGGTCTCGTCCTTCGGTTTATGCAACGCTCCGGCCAACTTCGAGCGGATGATGGTCTTTTGCGTGGGTTCAAATGGTCAATTTGTTTATGTTACCTTAACGACGTTATCACTTTTTCTCGACCTTTGAGACCCACCTCGATCGCCTATTCTCAATACTGGCTGTGTTTCGCAATGATGGTCTCCAACTGAACTCGTCAAAGTGCCACTTCGGACGCCAGCAACTAACCATGTTGGGCCACCTTGTCGACTCCTCTGGTGTACACCCTGATCCCGATAAAGTGCGCGCCGTGCGGAACTTCCCCGTTCAGACCTGCACTAAGGAAGTCCATGCTTTCTCGGTCTGTGCTCGTACTTTCGGCGTCTTGTGAACAACTTTGCGGAAGTAGCCCGTCCTCTCCCAAACTTACTGAGAAAAGATGTCTCATTCACGTGGGGTGCAGCACAGGCTACGGCGTTCACTACACTTTTAAGATTGCTAATACAACCACCTGTTCTGGCCCATTTTGACAATGCCACCCCTACAAAAGTCCGCACCGATGCCAGTGGCCACGGAATTGGTGCTGTTTTGATCCAGCATCAAAGCGGCTGCGCCAGCGTTATTGCCTATGCCAGCCGTCTCCTCTCGCAGGCGGAAAAGAACTAGTCAATCACCGAAAGGGAGTGCCTTGCTCTCGTTTGGGCAGTAGCGAAATTTCGGCCCTATTTACATGGTCGACATTTCACCGTCACAATCGATCACCATGCACTTTGCTGGCTCGCATACTTGAAGGACCCCACTAGGCGCCTTGGTCGATGGGCACTACAACTCCAAGAGTATAACTACTCGGTTTCCTACAAATCTGGCCGTTTACACCATGACGCTGACTGCTTATCTCGGAATCCAGTGGACCCACTTGAGGCGTTCCTTGAAGCACCATGTGTGCTGTCTTTCTTCGCTGTAAGCGATATCCCTGACCAACAGCGCCGTGATCTTGTCTTGCGGAACATAATCGAGAATCTTCATTCTGTGCCACCTGATCCGTCTACTCGATTGTTTGTGCTCAAGGATGGAACGTTGTACCGTTACAACATCCGCCCTGATGGACTCGAACAGTTCCTTATGGTACCTTCCCACTTACGTGCGAGCGTGATAAGCCAGCTCCACGACTCTCTCACTGCCGGTCACCTCGGACTGTCTCGGACGTATAACCGTGTACTGCATCGATTTTACTGGCGTAGTCTTTATCGCTCGGTTCACAGCTATGTCGCCTCGTGCGATTAGTGTCAACGCCGAAAATAATTTTCTATGAGACCTGCCAGGTTCCTCCAACCACTTGACGTTCCCTTTGATCCCTTCTTTCGGCTTGGTCTTGACTTCCTGGGCCCTTTCCCTGCGTCCACTTCTGGGAATAAGTGGATAGCTGTTGCGACGGATCACACAACCTGGTACGCCATTGCACGGGCTCTGCCAACCAGCTGTGTCACGGACGTTGCCGATTTTCTCCTGCACGACGTCATACTTCATCATGGCACCCCATGCCAACTCCTCACAGATCATGGGCGCTATTTCCTATCTTGAGTTATCGACGACCTGCTTCGCTCCTGTGAGACAAAACATAAATTTACGACAGCCTACCGCCCGCAAACTAAAGGACTGACTGAGCGGTTCAACCGGACTTTAACTGATATGCTCGCCATGTACGTATCGTCCGACCACCAGGACTGGGACGTTGCGCTGCCCTTCTTTACGTTAGCCTATAATTCCTCACACCACGATGTAGCTGGTTTTTCACCTATCTATCTCGTGTTTGGCCGTGATCCAACTTTATCGTTTCGCACCATCTTTCCAAGAGCCGTCGACTCGACGACCAAATACGCCGGCGATGCTATCACCAGAGCTCGCAAAGCACGAGAAGTTGCCCATCAGCGCCTTTTAGCATCGCAAGATCAGCAGCGGCAGCGTTACAACTCCCATCATCGCCAAGATTCCTTTACTCCAGGCTCTCTTGTGCTATTGTGGATTCCAACTAGGCCCATTGGACTATCTGAAAAACTGCTTTCCCGCTACTCGGGACCCTACCGCGTATTGCACCAGGTGACAGATGTGACCTACGAAATAGCCCCGCTCGAGTCTTCCTCCCCCTCCCCTTCACTGTCTACAGACATTGTTCATGTATCTCGCTTTAAGCTTTACCACTCGGCAACATCGCAGAAAGCACCGAGACGGTGCTTCAGCACCCGGGGGTTATGTTATGAGACAATGTCCCACTAAAGTGGTTAGACAGGCGCCGAGGATGTTGACGTGATTTTGGTGTAGGGCACAGCTCTTGTTCTCCATCTTGGCTTGCGCGTTGGCGCTGTGTAAACATATCTTCAAACACCTAGTTCCCCGTGTGCCTTCACGTAGTAACAACACACACACACATGCACGCACACATGCGCGCACACACACACACGCATGCACGCACACACACGCACACACAATGTCCCCTTTTTTGTATCACAGTCAGGTATATTGTATATTAGGACACCGCATTGTAAGGTGTTGAATTGGGTTGCATTTTTTGTTTTTGCTTCTATATAGCTGGCTGCTAAGATTTAGTGGCATTTCTGCTGTTAGTGTTATACTTGGAGTCCTCTATGATTTTATTAGCTCAAGATATGTTTTGAATACTATGTTTGGGGATTTACAGATGTGCTGGTAAAATGGCCTTTGACTTTGGCTATCAGATTGTGATGGTTTCTTCCCAATTTCTATCTGCTCTTCTCACTTGCTCATCATAAACATTTATTTGTCTCACTTTTTTGCCTGTCTTATTTTTTCATCCTCAGTTTTCGTAACTATATAAACACATTCAAACATTATGCTTACTTGAGTAGCCACATCAGCTTTGTTTTCAGCCGTTGCCTTTAAAAAGCTATTCTCCATTCCAAAAACATTCTTTGTCTTATTGTCGGAAATTTCAGTGTGTAAGGTAGCTGCCCTTCAAGAAATGACTAACCGTGCTCTTTTTTCTGCTTTTCAGATACCGTATATTTTCACTTGCCAGCTTTGGACAACCCGAAGCGAACTGTTTTCGGGATATCATGCTATCGACAGATCAGTGCAGAGGCAGGTGTAGCATTTGATTTTTTAATAATGTTATAGTTGCTATAACAAAATTAACTTTTTTACAGCTCAGCATCTGTTCCACTTATAAGACACCATGTCAAGTGTCTTAAACTCTCATCAGCTACCGAGTCGTAGTAAAAAAAATTTATTCCCACAAAGGGTTGGGGGCGTGGTAAATAAGTGGGAAGCTGGAGAAAGGAGGGGGCTGAACAAAATATTAAAATGTCAGCTAACATTGCCATTTCAAGGAATGCTTTTCACATATCTCATAGATGGGTCACGCTAAAGGGGATTTGGCATCATGGTTTCAGAAACTAGTGCAGAAGTGTATCGGTACCTATCTTCACAATCACTAATTCCTGGACATCAAACCTGAAGTATAGTTGTTTTTTTTTTCCACACTTATGTTTCAACACAAGGTGACAGCATGGAATGCTTTACTTAAGAAATGCTGAATACAAACAAGTCCTGTCTGTGTAGCTTATCAGAAGAAAACATTATTAATCACAATATGTGAGAAAATCATGTGAGCTTCATTTAGCAATATCACAACCAGTCACAGAGTGATAAAAACAATGTGAGATGAAGGGTGTCGTGTGGACCATGGGCTGTTAGGAAAAGTTCAGTAGACCACGTGTTTGAGACCCATGCACAATGTTTTAGGTACAGGACAGCTGCCTTTATTAATTGCTGTCGCTGTTAACTATTTGTGCCTGGTGTCAAAACTGCAAAAAAAGTGAAAAAAAAAACAAACAAGATAAGTGGAAGAAATGAACAAGATACGACAAGCATGGCTTTGATCATTCCTTGTTACCTGTCCTCAGTAACAGTATGAACCAACGAACTTGCAAGAATGTCCTGCTGTGTCTTTGGCTGGTAGATTGGATTTATGTTACCACGTTTTTTTTACATGGGCCTTCATTTTTGGACTGCTCTCTGAATTGGTACATTTACTTCATGGTCCCTGGCAACACTTTCACTTGCCTCGAGAACCGATGCTAATGGAAGCTGATATGGCTGAAGTCACCCAGTATACTGCTCGATGTAACAGACATGGTGGCTCCAAATGAAGCCGCCGCCATGTCTGATTTGCCGTAAACTGCAACTGTCATTGCCATTTCTGGACAAATTGGACAAAGGTAACTTCGTCATACATGGAGTTACTTAAAAGTTAAGACTCGGGTGTTGATGAGTGAGTGACATCTGAAAAGCACGCGCATTGAGACGATGCTGACTGGATCAAATGTGGCTTTTCTCACTTCTAGTTTTTTCTTAAACTTCATGCACTTATTTTTTGTACATCTGTGAACTACAAGGACTTCTCTTTCGATGTATAATTTTTAACAGTTGTGTAGGTTTAAAAAAAATTTTATTTGAATTTATCTTTCTGTTACTCACAAAGAAACAGTGTCTATGTAACAACACAAATATTTTTTTTTGTCACTTTAACATCACCCAAAATAATTTGGACAATTTTGTTTCGGAAATGGATTTGTTTGCAGAATCTAAATCAATAATAAAAAAAGACACTTTTCTGAAACCCATTTCGTGGAAAAAAAGTCAACCTTCAAAGGGTTAATATTCCTGTTTTTGTAAGCCCTGACACAAATGTTGACAATTAATCACTTATTGTCAAGCTTAAAAACACAGACATCGTAATGTGCTACACCTGTGCTTTTGATGGGTGTTTCTGAAGCAGAATTGAAAGGAAATAAAGCAGCGATGCTCGAGAAGGTTTGAAACCCATGAAAGAATTCTAAAAATTGAGTTGTATCAACAAGAACGTGAATCAAATATCTATTCTGTGTCTTCTTTTGTTTAGCCAGCCTCACTTTTCTTATTGGTGGCAGTGTTTTGCTTTGATCATACCAGATGTCGTCGACATCTTGATTCCATTGATGTAGAAGCTAACTTATTTTTTCCATTTTCTTGTACACAGATGCTACTGCGGCGGGGCTCAGACGTCACGCGCAGCTCTGTGCAAAAGAGTGTGTGTGTGCTGAGCCGATTGCCGCTGTACGGAGTTATACAGGCCAAATTGCAGTTGGTGACTCATGCCTACTTTGACGAGCGAGACTTCAGCCAAGTAGCACTCCTCAAGGAAACATACCAAAACTTGAATGCCTTGCTGTCATCTGACATGATGCACGGAGGACAGCCATACCTAGGTGAGGCGATGTCCATTTGATTTGATCGTCTTGGGTTATGGCTGGGCCTCCATCTTTTTGTAGCTTATTTTTCTTGAAATTCGTGGGCTGTTTTGGGGGGTTTGTTTCTTTGCCAGAAATGTTTGCACTTATTGTGGTTTATTTTTCAGAAACCCTCAGTGTTTTTGATATCACAGAGTTTGCGTTATTTTGAATGCGCCAATCTTTTAGATGAAGTGATCTGAACACAAAGACATCAGAATACATAAAGCATATTTTAGTCATCTGAAAGGTTTGCATGCACATACACACATAGATGCAAGCATACTTTACAAGTTCCGCATATTTGACGTCGTGTGGCACACTTCAGGGCTACCAGAGGAACGTGTAAGTCGTTTCGCACTCTCAGGGGCCCCGCATACGTTGACGTCTTTTGCGTCGTATTCGACGAGCCTTTTGTGTAATGTGCAGTGCTTGCGATCAACGAGATACTGTTGATGTGAGATAAATGGACATGAGCAGGGTACATAATGCATAAGCAAAATAACAGCTGGTCAGTAAGGGTTATTGACTGGATTCAAAGAGAAGGCAAATGCGCGAAAAGAATACAGAAAGTTAGGTGACCAAATGAAATTAAGAAGTTTGCGGGTATAACTTGGCAGCAGCAAGGACAGGACTGGGTCGATTGGCCGAACAGGGGAGCACTGCAGTCTTTGCACTCCAGTCTGATGATAATGCAGGCTGATGATGATGACGAAAGTTACATTGACGTGAGGTCGAAATGCAGCGGTATTATTGGCTGATGTGTCAAGAAGCACTTAGAGTATGTCCTTGTGATAAAGAGCGGAACAGGGTCGTTTGGCTGTTACAATTGCAGTTTCTTAGATAAATCCAAATTGTCAAACATTTTACCGGCAAGTGTTTATTGCATTTTTTTTTGTTTATCCGAAAACACAAAGCCCTACATAAGGCACATTATTTGGGCTAAGTGTGCTAGTTGTATGTATGTACCTACTTAGCTGAGTTTGTGCAGAGTTCTTCAAATACTCACATAGTTTCCATTGTTTTCCATTCTGTTGCCACTAGTATTTTCAATAAATCTGTTGTTTGCAAGAATACGTATGAGTGCCTTGTGAAAGCTTAGCGAGTGATCTATGCCCAATTTTGACACACTTTACGTTGTGTGTGCTAAAATAATGTGCATGCACATATTTTTTTAGTTTTTGATTTTTCTGTTCTGTTGTAACACTGTGCATCCTGCAGGGCTGTCCTCACGGGACTTGGTTTTGCATTTCAAGCACAAGGCGGTGCTGCTCTTTAAACTGCTCTTGTTGGAGCGCAAGGTGAGTTGGCAGCAAGGGAATGCACTTGCCACAAAGCTTTTTGGTTTGTGTAGAATTATTTTGTCTAAAGGAACCCACGATTTCAATTCCTAGAGCATGAGTAAGAGCAGCAGCTATGAGGTTAGCTGTGATGTATGATGGGTGCACATGGTCTTGAATTGATTGCAAATACCAGACAACAGCAGCAGAATTCGAAACTACTCTTGCATTCTAGACATCTGTCCAAGAATTAGTGCATGTGTGAGTTAACATGAATGATAGATTTAATGCTTGAAAGGCGCAAGCCACCTTGTCTCAACTGAATCGGCAGGAGACCCTTGATGCATGAATGTTGCTTTGCAAGATCTCATGAAGCCTAACTATTTTCAGCATTTGGGATGCAAAATGCTGTCAACATTTTCTTTTTCTTCTCCAGGTGTTGTTTTACAAGACACCTGTCAAAGATCTATGCTCCACTATTCTCACTCTCTGTTCTCTGTTTCCTGGTGAGTGTTCTGTATTTCATTTAAAGTTGTTTGAAGTTGTAGAATTTTTTTTTTTGTTGGCATTGATTGTAAGCAACGGAACAAAAATATAGGATTGCTTAGTTGCACTATTAAGGGAATATGAAGGAATAACACCACTTTTTCTTCCAAAAAACAAAGATGAGAGAAATAGAAAAGGGTCGGCACATGTAACCAGGCACTTTTCGTCTTCTGTCTGGTTACTGATGCATGCAGGGATGTTGGAGCAGGGCCTGGAGGAATGTGCCTGCACAGCCGGCCTGCGACAACTGAGCTCCGAACTGCACCCTGAGGAACATGACTTCCTCGAGGTCCACTTGAGTCACTCGCCTAGTGAGCTCAAGCAGAGCCTTGACACGCTTGCTTCGGAGAAGAACAGGCAAGATTCATCCTAGTGCTGTTTTATGGCAGGCTTTTTGTTGGCTTCATTCTGTTTTTTTAACTTACTTAAACATTGCAGTGCAACATGCAGTGATTGTGTGCTTCGTTGCTGAAGACAAACTTGATTAGTAAACTTTTTCTGTTTCAACACACCTCTACATTCCCACTCAATCTGACTCACAACGTGGGAGCATGTGGCCTCACAAGCTATAAGATTGTGCGTGGTGTCAATGTGCCCTCATTTTTGCAACTAAATTATGTTTTATTATTTGTGACAATCCCCTAGCCATAAAATTGTATTTGGGGAAAAGTAGGTTCGTGGAAGCTATGGGTGATACTGCAGCCCGTGAGGCCATGTAGTCCCTTGTTGTAAGTTGTAGTGTGTGCCACAGCATCGAACAAATAGATTGACACACGAAACTTTAGGACTAAGTAATGGGCATATTTTTATTTCTAGAATCTACAGTGTCTTATATTGGTGCAGTTTTGATTTGAACCCGTACAACAGAGCCACATTACTTTTAGTGGCCAGATTGGCAATGACATGATGCAGTTATCACGAGCACCTGCTCATAGCACTTGTTGGAGAAAAAGAAAAGGTCATGCTTAAATTCATGAGTACTTCTCACTTTTTTTGTGTGTTAATTATGCTATTCATTTCAAAGTATTTTTTTTTTAAATTCAACAAGTTTAAACTACTACCTATAGGTAATACCTAATGAATTCAACTCTTTCCTTCAAGAGGTGAATTAGTTTAACAAGCAAAGCACCGTTCGATTCATGGCCTATTTCCCTAGGTGGGCTGCGCCAAGCTGTTGAGGAACCAACGAACCAACCAACCAATCAACCAACTTCTCAGTTTGCACCTTTCTGAAGGATAATTTTCTTAGACTGAACTAAATGCTGATACGCTTCTTATACTAAGCCCATGTTGCCTGAACAATCTCCTGATCAGATCTGGGCAATGTCAAGCTGTGGTATCGTGGTCAGGGCCTTTGCCTCATAAGCTTAATTGTATCTTCAAGAATCAGGGCCACACCAAAAAGTCCTGTGCCTCATTACCTGCTAGATACAGCAAAAGCACGTTGAAGACTACTTAGTTGTTTTATTGCTATGCTGCCACTCGTCCTACATTGGCAAAGAAATTTTCTTCTACATAGTGCTTTGCTCAAACATTTGCTACAAAATCTGGAACAATATTGACAGTGTTTAGATTTAGACCTATACACAGTAACTATGATATATACAAAGTGCTAAGTTATGCTGTCTGGCATCGTTGTGCCACCTTTATGCTTTCAGTCCTGTTAGTTTTTGTACTGCCCTCAAAACTTTGAGAATTGCCACTGCTAAATAAACTAAAATGTGGGAGTTGTCACATGAAAAGCTTTCAAATCATAGTTTACTTGGTTAGCGATGACACTGTGTGGTTACAATGCTCAGTTTAGGGCTTTGGTGCTGATTTGCTGCACTTTCACTGGTGTACATTATTGGTCCGCGCATGACAATGGCTACGCAGAAGGTAGCAAACTCAAACTCTCTGCCTCTTTATCTCTCTCCATATCTTCCACCTAAATTGTAGGTTTTCTTATGTGCTGACTAGGAAATTTGACTCTTTTAGGCATTCTGTGCGACTTGCAGTCAGCTGTGTGTGCGGTACTCTGCGCTTCCACAGCATACTATTGATTGTGTGGGTGACAGGGTCTGTCATACGTCCAATATAAAAAGTGTGGTGTGATAGTACTGCAGAGTGCGAAATGATGGCGTCTGTCATTAATATAATTGCAATCAATGCACAGTCAAGTGCTGTGTGGTGTGAAATGGCAGCTTCATAATATCTCATCTAACTCTTGTGAAGTTTGTCAAATGAATGTCTATTAATTTATTATTTCACATTACTACAAGGAACAATAGTCTTGAATTTCTCAATGCACATTTCTTAATATGGCGTGGTGAATACAAAGTGCACTGCATAAGGTGTGTACATTTGTTGACATTGTAGTGCCTCAATGTGCACATTTGTTACGGAATCACGGCTTGCCTTGTGACATTTAGTTAAAACGTGAATCCCGTAGGCCAAGTTATTTAGACAGCATCTTTCTCATTGCTCTCGCCATTAGCAATTTTTTAACTGACATATGCTAAGCTCTGTGTGAGTTATTTAGGTTTACCTCCTTGTCTTTAATATCTCAGCTTAAAGAAATGGTAACTATTCTTACAGTAAAGTCATGTGCAACTCAGATTGTTCGTAAACCTAAAAGTAATTTGTTTTTCATTTTTATATGTTTTCCTGTATGACTACTAGCTGTTACAAGTTACATGTTTAGGGGGAATGAGATGCATGATACTACATGGTTTCAAATTTATCTTTTTATCGTAAAATTTTGTTGGGGCTGCACTGGTTTCTGCCTGTATGCATCGAAATTGGTTTAATTTATTTGATTGTGATTCCTAACAGTCTCTTAAAACTTATGCTTCTCCAAGATAACCTTCGAGAAAAAGATCTGTTAAGCAAGCAGCATGCTTACAGCAGTCACTTTTACGTTGGCATCTGCATTTTGCAGTCTTCTGCCTCTCAGGTTGCTTGGTACGTGTTCTCATATTATTCTTGTGTATACATTTGTGACTGTTTTACTTTTCGATAAAATTTGCCAGGAATGGCAGTTTGATGCATCCAGAAGCTGTCTTTACCTATGTATTGGCAGTATTGAACATTGCTTAATGTGGTTGAACAATTGGGAATTGTTATTGCTGCTGCTGTATTGTCCTACAGCCAGCAAAGTGACAAGCTTCTTCTTATCGTGATCTGTTTATGTACTATCTCCGGACGCACAGCACATGCCACGAATCATACCATATGGCTTACAATAATTAACGTCACATTAATTCTTTCTGCTGGTACTACTCTTGAGATTTTTAGAATACTATTCAACTAGTATTGATGTTGCTTCTGAAGCGTCTCTTTACTCTATCTTTAGGAAAAAGGAGCTCAGCTCAGAAGATACAGCGAGGGAAGAAGCAGTGCACTCACCGGAAGATTTGAGTCTGCTATCCAAGACAATCCGGAACTCAGAGTCTAAAAGCCTGGCCAAGCGAGCTGAGTCATTTGAAAATGCAACAGATGATGTTAAGTCAGTCACCGTCCCTCGAAAAGATTCAGAGGAGAAGAAAGATAAGACGGAAACACCACGTCTTTCCCTCGGCTCTGTTGGTAAAGAGTTCATCAGCAAGATTCTGCCAGTGAGCCTTGGAGACATCCCGTACCTTAACAGAGTCACTGATGATGCTGTGTTTGAAGAAGAGGACAAACTCGTCTCTGAAATAGATGAGCTGCTAGACTCGGATCCTAAAGAGAAAACTGAAATGAGGCAAGTGATTGAATGTCTGGTGGCCATGTTCACACCAAACTCCCGTGTGCATGCAAGTTTGCTGAGTAAAAGGCCTCTGTTTTAATAATTCATTACTTGTAAAATAAGTTTTTCTTCTCATTTTTAGCAGGTACATCTTTATGTTAGCTGTTTTTAAGTGGTACAAGGAGCAAGGTTTCCTATCAACAAGCAAGTCTAATCGAGCATATTATCTCAAGATCTCTCTCAGAGTTTGGTGCAGACAAGTGTAATGTTGAACACCAAAATTTATGTTTGCGATTCCGTGGCAGCATTTCTTCACTGCTGAGAAACGTACTGCCAATTGCTTGTTCACTTGGCACTTTGCTCTGATGTTTTGGTTCTGTATACAATATTTTGGCACACATAATTATTGTCCTGGAACAAGTGAACTCCTACTCTCATGTTCAAATGAATTTACTGCCCACGACCAAAAATAGTGGCACTTCCTATCATTCCATAAAATTGGTGGGACCAAAGTATAGAAGCAGCATTTTTGTGCTGAAAATTTATTGCCATTCATGATGCATCTGGCCAGATGGTTTCCAGAGAAGTAAGGTTTTAGAGAATTCTACTTTTCAATACTGTGGTAGTGCATGAATGCATAGAATTGCTGACTCATTAAGCCACAAATGCAGCCGAAAGTGTGCTGTTGTGCTTAAGAGCAGCATGGAATGTTGACGAGAATTATGATTTTCTGTTTACAGGTCTAAATTAGAATTTGTAGAAAGAGAAGAATGTGATGCGATGAAATCGCCTACAGCGCCTGTTGCCAGCAAAGAGAGTGCCAGCTTTCTTGGCAATCGGGGATTTATTTGGAGCAAACTTCCATCTGCCATCTACAGTCTCACATCTCGAGTATGTAACTGGTTGTTTTACACTTTTTGTTACTGGAGTTTGCATGGTTGTTTTTCTCTATGTCATGCCCATTGTTTTTTAGTTTTAGAAATACTAGTTTGAATGCCATGTCTCCAATGTTGGGATATGCCCTAGATTGTGGGTGCTTTTTCAGGCAACCTTAGCCCTTTACGGTCTGTTGTCGGGCCCCTCCCGACAACGCAACATGACCACAGAAGCTCGTGGTCGAGCATTGCTTGACAATTTTCTTCAAGGTTGATTCAAGTGTATGTTTTCTTATTGCATAATGTGTCATTTTTAAGTGAGTGAGCAAACTTCTTTACTCACTCGCAAGGTGCGTAAAGGTTTCAGAAGACAAAAGTTTAAGATAAGGGCACAGAAAATGAAGGGCATTGCCTTATTTTGTACACACACACATGCTCACACAAAAACACACATGTATGTACACGCATGCACGTACATACATAGATCTGCCAAAACCAAAACCATTTCACTTGTCATCTTTCAATTGCAATGCCTTAGAAGTTTCAATTTTACCTTAATTATTTTATTCTTGCCTGTGCTGCTTTTGTCTATATATTGTTACGTGAAGGTACACGCAAAACTAGGCGTTTGAAGATATATTTACAAAGCGCCAACTCGCAAGCCAAGATGGAGAACAAGTGCTGTGCCTTACACCAAAATCTTGTCGTCTTTTTCCGCACCTATCTAACCGTTTTTGTGGGACATTGTCTCATAACATAGCCCCCGGGTGCTGAAGCACCGTCTCGGTGCTTTCTATGATGTTGCCAAGTGGTAAAGCTTAAGGCAAGATACATGAAAAATGTCTGTAGACAGTGAAGGGGAGGAGGAGGAAGACTCGAGCGGGGCTACCTCGTAGGTCACATTTGTCACCTGGCTCAATACACGAAATGGTCCCGAGTATTGGGAAAGCAGTGTTTCAGAAAGTCCAACGCGCCTAGTCGGAGTCCACAATAGCACAAGAGAACCCAGAGTAAAGGAAACTTGGTGATGATGGGAGTTGTAACGCTGCCGCTGCTGATCTTGCAATGCTGAAAGGCGCTGACGAGCAATTTCTCGTGCTTTTCGAGCTCTGGTGATAGCATCGCGGGCGTATTCGGTCGTTGAGTCCTCAGCTGTCGGAAAGATGGTGTCAAACGGTAAAGTTGGATCACGGCCAAACACGAGATAGAAAGGTGAAAAACAAGCTGCATTGTGGCGTGAGGAATTGTAGGTGAACATAACGAAAGGCAATGCAACGCACCAGTCCTGGTGGTCGGGCGGTACGTACATGGCGAGCTTATCGGTTAAAGTCCGGTTGAATCGCTCAGTCAGTCCGTTAGTTTGCGGGTGGTAGGCTGTCGTAAATTTATGTCTTGTCTCGCAGGAACGAAGCAGGTCTTGATAACTCAGGAAAGGAAATAGCGCCCACGACCTGTGAGGAGTTGGCGTAGTGCGCCATGATGAAGTATGACGTCATGTAGGAGAAAATCGCGACGTCTGTGGTACAGTTGGTTGGTAGAGCCCGTGCAATGGCGTACCGGGTTGAGTGATCCGTCGCAACAGCTATCCACTTATTTCCAAAAGTGGATGCACGAAAAGGGCCTAGGAGGTCATGACCAAGTCGAAAGAATAGATCAAAGGGAACGTCAAAAGGTTGCAGAAACCCAGTAGGACTCACCGAAGGTTTTTTTCGGCGTTGACACTGGTTGCATGAGGCGACGTAGCTGCGGACCGAGCGATAAAGACTGGGCCAGTAAAATCGACACTGTACACAGTCATACGTCCGAGACAGTCCGAGGTGACCGGCAGTGGGAGCATCGTGGAGCTGGCCGATCACGCTCGCACGTAAATGGAAAGGTACTACAAGGAGCAGTTCGTGTCCATCAGGGTCGACGTAACAATACAATGTGCCATCCTTGAGCACGAACAATTGAATAGACAGATCATGTGCCGCAGAATGAGGCATCACGATGATGTTATGTAAGACAGGGCCTTGGCTCTGTTCCTCCCTGATATTGCTTAAAGCGGAGAGAGACAGGACGCATGGTGCTTCATCGAATGCCTCAGGTGGGTCCACTGGATCTCGAGATAAGCAGTCAGCGTCATGGTGTAAGGGGCCAAATTTGTAGGACACCGAGCAGTTATACTCTTGGAGTCGTAGTGCCCATCGATCGAGGCGCCTAGTCGGGTCCTTCAAGAATGCGAGCCAGCAAAGTACATGGTGATCGGTTGTGACGGTGAAATGTCGACCGTGTAAATAGGGCTGAAATTTTGCTACTGCTCAAACGAGAGCAAGGCATTCCCTTTCGAAGATCGAGTAGTTCCTTTCCGCCTGCCAAGGAGACGGCTGGCATAGGCGATAATGCCAGCGCAGCCGCTGTGATGCTGGACCAAAACAGCACCAATTCCGTGGCCACTGGCATCGGTGCCGACTTCTGTAGGGGTGGCATTGTCAAAATGGGCCAGAACAGGTGGTTCTGTTAGCAATGCAATAAGTGTAGAGAACGCCGTAGCCTGCGCAGTACCCCATGTGAAAAGACATCTTTTCTCAGTAAGTTTGTGAGGGGACGGGCTACTTCTGCATAGTTGTTCACAAAACCTCGAAAGTACGAGCACAGACCAAGAAAGCTGCGGACTTCCTTGGTGCAGGTCGGAATGGGGAAGTTCCGCATGGTCGCACTTTATCGGGATCAGGGCGTACACCAAAGGAGTCGACAAGGTGGCCCAACATGGTTAGTTGCTGGCGTCCGAAGTGGCACTTTGACGAGTTAAGTTGGAGACCGGCATTGTGAAAAACAGCCAGTATTGAGGATAGGCGATCAAGGTGGGTCTCAAAGGTCGGAGAAAATACGATAACATCGTCGAGGTAACATAGACAAATTGTCCATTTGAATCCACGCAAAAGAGAGTCTATCATCCGCTCGAAGGTGCCCGGAGCGTTGCATAACCCGAAGGGCATGACCTTAAACTGGTAAAGACCATCGGGCATGACAAAAGCGGTATTTTCGTGGTCCATGTCGTCGACAGCAATTTGCCAGTACCCTGGTTTTATATCAATGGACGAAAAATACTTAGCGCCGTGAAGACAATTTAGAGCATCGTCTATTTGCGGTAGCGGGTAGACGTCTTTTTTAGTAATCTTGTTAAGTGTCGCTAGTCAACACAGAGTCGCCAAGTGTTGTCCTTCTTTTTGACAAGAACTACAGGGGAAGCCCATGGGCTACATGATGGCTCAATTATGTCTCTAGCGAGCAATTTGTTGACTTCTGCTTGAATTATGTCACGCTCGGTTGGAGATACGGGGTATGGCCGTCGATGGACAGGGGAGGCATCGCCGGTGTCAATGCGGTGCTTTACAGCAGTGGTTTGACCTAGCGGACGATCACAAAAGTCAAATACGTCCCAGTATGACTCAAGGACGTGAAGGAGTGCGTCGGCTTGATGCGGCAAAAGGTCTGACGCGATCATTTTTTTAACGTCAACAGACGGGCTTGCTTGCGAAGATCGAGCATGCGTGTAGCTACAGTGTCCAGCATCGTTCGAAGACAGAGCTGAGATTACGCATTCGTCAGAGGGAGTCAGCATGGCGAGGGCAATTTCGCGCGAGAGCACTTGTGGACACAGAGCAAAGTTGAGCACAGGAATGCAGGTGTGGTTTGCACGTAACTGACTAACAGTGTGTGGTAAGGTGACACTGTGAGTCAAAAGAATGGATGTAATGGGCGTGAGCACATAGTCGCCATCGGATACAGGTGGTGAGGGCATTACGGTGATGCAGGTCAGAGTTTGCGGGGACAAACGGACATGCTCAGCAGAGCACATACGAGCTTGGGGTGGACTGGGCGGATCAATCGGACACGGTAGGTCAAGTTGCACAGTACCAGCTGAGCAGTCGATGAGAACGGAATGAGTGGACAAAAAGTTAAGACCGAGGATCACATCATTGGTGCAGTGAGAGAGAACAGTGAAGAGAACTGAAGTTTGTCGGCCGGCGATAGTGACGCGTGCAGTACAGACGCCAATAACCGTAGCCGTACCACCATCAGCAACACGAACACTGCGTGAAGGGGCTGGAGTAAGGACTTTCTTTAAGCGGTCACGAATGCGCAAGCTCATCACAGAAATATGGGCGCCAGTGTTTACCAAGGCTTTAACAGATAAACCGTCCACTTCAACATCGATCAGGTTCTGATTGGTCGGCAGCGTCAACAGAGGAATTGGAGAGCAAGTCGTATCGGCAGCGTCACCTCCAGGAGCTGCAGCCGTTAGTTTTCCTAAGAAAACCGCCGGGCGGAGGATGGGGATGGGGAACGGGGTGGCGGCGGAGACCAAAAAGATCTACGTCGAGGTGAAGGTGAGTGACTGTACTGGGCAGTGGTCGTAGTGGTCGAGTCGTAATTAGCTGAGCCATCACGCGGTGCTAATTCCTGGCCATAGAGATGGGCTGGTTAGTGGAGGTTGGAGAAGCTTGAGTTTGCCAGATACGGTGAGGTCCACGTGCTTCGGCAATGGCAGGAATTGTGTCCCACTCGTTCACATCGAAAGCAAATAGGCCTGTCGCATTTGGGTCACGATTACATGGAGCAGGGCGACGATAACGCTGTGGGTGGCTGGAGGTAGATGAACTGACAGCGTCGGGACGGTGCACAGAACAGACCGTGTGAATACCTGCATTGGCTAGTTCTTGGCGAACAACGGTCTGTATTAGCGAAATGGTCGGATGAGGATCACTCTGTGCTAGTGCTCTCAAGGGTGCGGGTATATGGCCTCGATTTTGCAGCGTATGATTCTCGTGATGTCACCGGAGTGTGAATCGGGCTGGGTCGCTATACAAAGATCTTCGCACGTTGACGTCGCAGCAGTGTTGGGAAGGCGCGTAAAGTGGTGGGCAACGTGACGGCTTTTAGCCTCTTGAAAGCGTTGGCACTCCGAGATAACATCTTGCTCGGTGGAACAGCCTCTGCACACAAGGAGGTTAAATGCATCGTCTGCGATGCCCTTGAGCACGTGCGCTACCTTGTCTGCTTCAGCCATGATTTGGTCAATTTTACGGCAAAGGGTCAGCACATCTTGTATATACGCCAGGTAAGACTCTGTGGACGTCTGAACACGTGTGCCAAGTTCTTTCCTAGCGGCCTGCTTGCAGCCGGCAGATTGACCAAATAACTCGCGTAACTTGGTCTTGCATACGTCCCAGCTCGTGATCACGTCCACGTTGTTATTAAACCATGCCTTGGCCGTTCCTTGCAAATAAAAAATAATCTTTGCAAGCATCAAGGTTGGGTCCCACCTGTGGTTTTCGCTGACGAGCTCGTAGAGTTTGAGCCACCCATCCACGTCGTCGCCTTCCGTTCCCGAAAAGTTGCCGGGATCGCGGGGTGGAGCGGCCATGAAAAAAACAGGGGAGGTTGGCGCCGTTGATGCATAGGGCGTGGCAGTTGACGAAGCGTCACTGCCGGTGGACATGTCGGAAGCAGCGAATAGGCATCCACTACTTAACTCCGCCGTGCGTTGTAACCCAGCACCTTCCACCAAAATGTTACGTGAACGTACACGCGAAACTAGGCATTTGAAGATATATTTACACAGCGCCAACGCGCAAGTTAAGATAGAGAACAAATGCTGTGCCTCACACCAAAATCATGTCGTCTTTTTCCGCGCCTATATAACCGCTTTTGTGGAGCATTGTCTCATAACAATATTTATGTGATAGCATTAAAGATCTCATTTCACAGAAATGCTATGACATGCGAAGCTCAAATGTGCTCCAAGTTTTTCGCACCTTCTTCCTTTTATTTGACCATCAGCAAGACACATGCCTTTGGGAAGGCCAAAGCAGTTACACATACCGGGCGTGGGGTGTGTGGAGTACGTAATGGTTACAAAAAATCTCGCCAACTTCTGGTCAGAGAGGTTGCAACAAAAATGAAAACGTCACCATGACAACAAAAACAAAAAATGTTTATTCCAATGGTAATGTTAGCCCTTGAAAGCCTGGCACTTGCATCATCAAAACTGTGGTTGATTGAAATTGATGTTTAGCCTGCATGGTCTGCTTGCATGCTTGTGCAGCAGCTTCACTCCCATTGCTTTGGCAGGTAATAAGTGAAAGCTAACACATTGCTCATGATTCCTGTCTGCTATCTTTGGGGCCATGCTGTGACCTGTGAGCTCGCCCTATTGTCTGTCGGCCATAGAACACTGGCCGTAGAACATTTTATCCAGGATGAACAACAACAAGTACGTTGAATGTCCTGTGCCAGCAATTGTGCTGTTTAACAGATCATGGTGCCTTTTTTTCTTTGTTGTTTGTTTCTTTCGGACTTCACAGTTATCTTTCCTTATTTTTGAACACTGCTGCTCTCTGCTTCCGTGCTCTCAGCAGGCTTGTACACCTTAGAGAAAATAAGCAACCGATTGAAATTAATTCCTTCAAAATGTAAATTACAGTTGTCAGTTACAGCCCCAGGAAAGAAACTGAGCTTTTGCAGAAATTTAATGGTTTTTTTGCCTTATTTTCCTTCAAAATTTTATTGCTGTGACATCACAGCACAATATTACTCAAACTAAAACGAACCATTGCAGCTTGTATGCTAGAGAGCAGGTACGAAACTGCATGAAAGCCTAGAGGCCTTCTGTGATATAGTGTTACACGTTAATTTTCAAGAGTTGTTTTTCAAAGTTGTGTCACTGATTCTTCAACATTTCCATGCTAAGAGGTCAGTGGCTACACTGAAAACTTTCTCATTTCAGTGCATGCACTTGAGAAAAGGGCAGTATTATTATGTAAGCACTTGCGCTCCAGCTCATACTTACGTTCTGCTTCAGTGCTAGTGTTCATGTCCCTATGAAATTGTGCTTCGCTGTTACTGGCGGTCAGTTAAGGCATTGCAGTTCAGGCCAAGAAGAGGGTGAAAAAATAGTCTGTGTGGTCATTCCTCGTCTAACCGAATGGTGGTCCCTACAAAGTGGTGGCTTATTTTTAGTACATGAACTGCTGTCGAAGCGTGGCTACAACTTGATTTGGGAAAAAAAGGCAATTGATTACTGGTAATCAATTACAAGAAAATGTAATTTAATTAACCAGAACATTACAGTTTTACTAAAGTGATCGGTTATGTTGCAGAATTACTAGGAAATGTGATTGATTACAAGTTATTATTTACTTGTAATGTGTCAAAAACTGGGAACCCTGGTAGTCAGTTTTTTGCAGTTAACTTCCATAGCTTTGCATACAGGTCTGGTGAGCTTGTGAACCACCCTTAAAGCCTCTTACAAGGAACACTAGAGGATGTCACAGCATTCGGCTCATTGTATTAAATAGACGGTAGTTAAAAAAAAAAAATGAGTGGAAGTTTCTTTGTCTTATGAGGTGTGTTCAAAAAGAAATCAAAATTTTTCCTATACAGCTTTACTACTTGTGGTACAACCTTTTAAGCACTTCCCCCCCTGAGACAACCCCCCTCTATTTGCAGTGCACTGTTCCCATCTTTTTTTTTTATTTATTTTTGAGATGCCTTCTGAAATGGCCTACAGGTCTCTTCTCACATTGTCCTGGATCTTCTTTATGGCTTGGAAATGACATCCTTTCAATGTGGTTTTGTGTTCAAGATAGAGGAAAAGGAAAGCAATTTTATAGTATTATCCTACGCTATAATGCTCATTTCATCAGCAACTTTTCGAACAGTCTAGCGAAGGTTCCCTCGAATTCTAGTACGAACTCTCGGTGTGGTCATAATCTGCTGTTGTGGAAGGTCGTCCAGGCTTTGGACAGACCACTCACAAGACTGCGTGTGACTCATACAGTCTTTCCCGTATGCTTGGCTAAGCAACGGGAATTTTCCTTTGAAAGTGTTCCCGGGTTTGCTTCAGAACCTCACACACATGTTGTTCTTCCAGCTCTCATTGTTACATTGGTACTAACCCGAAGAACAGCTTGTCCATGTGCTCACTTTATTGGCTGCAGCTCACAAACTAATGGTCAGAGCGAATCGCGGCAAACGACAGTTTCTTTTTTAAGCTTGCCTCTATGTGCGGTTAGTAGCCACAGCACGCTTGATCTGTTGGCTGGCATTCTACTGGAAAAGTTCGGTTTCTTTTCGAACAAACCTCTTATTTTATGTATTTGTGCTGTTACCAACTTTGCATTTGTGTCAACGGCAGAAAGATGGACTTTACATGTATACACACATGCAGGAATCGCCATCTGTTGTCACAAAGGGCGGTGTACCTGGAGCAGGTGATGACAGTGATTTTGCTTGTGAGCTGGACGGATCAACGACACCTTGTGAAGACAGCTCTGGTTTGGTGACTCTCAACCTCGCTGGTGAAGGCGGTGAATTGGGTAGTGTGTCGGGCTTGAACAGTCGGGACCAGGAGGACTTACTGCTTCTGCAGAGCATTCCCAAAGTCATTGCCCTGCCAAATGAAGACTGTGGCCTGCCACTTTGCATATTTTCAAAGGCAAGCAGGCACCCTGTTTACAAAAAAAGGCAGTCTTGGTGCTAAGCCATATTTAATGGCTTTGGCATGTTTGCTTTTTCATTTTTCAAAGTACAACATTTTTTCTGTGCTTTTATAGTGTGCCAATGTTCAACTACATATTGAGATTTTAAAAGGCCAAGTTACTGAAAAATGGCTGTAATTTAAGGGGACTTAGTCGACGATACTCATACTACATATGTTTTGTCACCAGAAAGGCCATGTGGCCTCCCTTTTGAAGAAGCAACTTTTTGGAGAGCATGAAAGTTGCATGCACTCATAGTTTCTGCAAGTGACTCAGTCCCTGTCGTGAAGCAAAATAGAAAGTGAACCTGAGTGGGCACCATAGTATACATGTAATGCGGCAGAGATTTTTGTTGGGAAGTAAGAACGGGAAGTAAGAATTGTTCGAGTGGATTTCCATAAAATCATCTTGATTGGTGACAGTGACCACTAACTATGGGAGGTTAATTACAGTCCAACCCAAATATATCGAGCTCATCTAACTAGAATCATTTTTTATATTGAACTATTTTCGAACTAGACAGTGCTTTAATGCCATTTTATAGGAAAAGCTATGAATACACTAACAATAACAGCTGGGACACTTCATACATTGGACTTCGTTCTGCACGAAATGCCTTGAGTGAGTCGCATGGGGTTCACTTTTTCTTGCAGAAGGGAGCTTGCACTATCCGAGTAGTGCCAAAAGGTACTAAAGGCTTTAGGCACCCGACGAGTCCACTTATCTACATGTGATGATGTTGAGGCAGTGTTCACATTAACGCTGTATTTTGTCGCGCATAACTCGCTTCTGCATGTTACCTGCACACCAGACTGGAGAAAATAATGACCAATAAAGAAGATCTCCACGATTTGCCCTTAAACCACCCTCTTTGCATTATCTCTAAGCAGAGCTGTGAAGCCAAATTCACACCGAAGTTCACGCCAAATATGTCATAAATCTTTAAAAGAGCAGTGATACTACATCTGAACCTCGAGATGCAGTGTTCATTCAATTGCTTGGTATGCACGAGTTTTTTTTAGCAAAGTATGTATGGCGTTTGTTATGTAGAAGTAATTCTATTTCGAGCGCAAAGAGCGTCCAAAGGCTCAACGGTGCGTTCCTGGCCATGAGACATCGACAGTATGAATGTGTTCAGCAAGCTCCTAGACCACGCCTCCAAGCGCTAAGTGACGATGACGTCGACAGTTTTAGTGTTGTCATCACAATGGCTACATGTGGTGTCTACTGTCCGGCGGCGACGCCTGGCTGCCTGACAACAGCTTCACTTGCTTTGATTTGCTTCATTCGTGCAGCGCATTCGTGTGAATGCTGCGTTTTCGTTGTGCCGCTTGGGGTGATTTGTCCAAGAGCCATGCGCGCAAATGTGAATATTTGAAGCTAGGGTAATCACAAACTAGTAACACGCACACAGCGTTCATATGTCATACCAGCTAGCGGGGTCCAAGTGCGCGTCTCCAGCTGCCTCGTCGCTGCTCGGTCCGGTATCGATTTCAAAATCACTGCTCTGAAAGGGATAGAACCATAAACTACTCGCCACACCATGAATTGCCGCGATTCCATATTCCTCAGTGTTTTCATTGTCGCTTGTGGACGCTGATGACGGCGGCGAGGACAATGAAAGTGGTGAAGACATACCTATGCAAGTGTGCACTTAGCAGACGTAATGTCCTCTGAAACTCGCATCATTTTCTGTGGCCAGATGGTCAGACAGGGTGTGACTGCGGGAGGTGACGGCTCGGCGGCACCAAAAATTGATAGGCTTTGCAGCCATTTTGAATTGGGTTTGATACTGGTCATACTAATCAATATTACATATAACATTTTGTCTCTCTGCTGCATTACTAGTACCGAATCGTTTCTAGGGGATCTATAACTACGCGCTGACACAAGAAACGCGACATGCGTCAGGTTGATGTCACTGCTCTTTTAAGAGTTTTGTATCAAGTTACTATGAGCTATATCAAACTAATGCACATTTTTCTGCTAGTTGGATATGTGCTGGTTTGAGTGTACTCGCTTGCTTGATCACACATGCTTGCCCACACAAGTGACCTCACATACTGGTATGTTTCTTAGTCCCATTTTCTATCATCTTGAAGAGGTCTAATATTTTTGCACGCAGCAGTGGTTAGCTCTGCTGAAAGCGATGACCTGATGTTGCGGAACTGAATCTTGAACAGGCATTCATGTATAACAAAATTCTGTTTCATGTTTTAGTATTTGTAGAATAGTTGTTCTAAGGAAGATAAGGGGCTGCGCTTGTCACATGGCACGCGCCCTATTCCATCACACTTATGAAAATGTAGAGAAGGTACGCCACCTGTGGACCACCCAGTCAAAAAAAGGAGGGTGTTGACATTGGTAGTGAAGCGTGCCTCCTGGAGGCATGACATTATATCAGTTTAATATCTCCTGCCTCTTCCAATTATGAATGAATTTAGAAAATTATTTTACTAATACTTTTACAATTTCCAGTGTGTACATAATCAGAATTCGTGTCCCACATAGGGGCTTCAAATGAAGTTTGACTGAGTTAATATTGCTACGTAGCGCCACTTCTGTTTTGTTTTACGTCCTGGACTACTGCCCACATGAAATCATTCTGGGATTAGATTTTCTGTCGGAGCATTCCGCCCTACTTGACTGTTCTGCTGGTGTTGTTCAACTTGCTTTACCACACGCTGTTGACCATCCTGCTCCTGCGCCGCTAAGGCTCTGCTCCAATAAGCACATTCACCTATTATGTCCCCCGCAGGGGCGCCTGCGCAAGTAGGCGTTTGGTGTGTAGCGACACCACGGACCCGAGCTAACGGGGGAGTTTCTACTCCCTCCCACGCCTAGGCGTGCGTGGCTTTGCCGTGTCCGGGAAAAGGGGATCCTGGGGGTTGAGCTGACGCTGGGTGATTGGACCTTTAAGGCCCCCCGGCAGAGGCAACACACCCCTTTGGCCCTGGCTTCACGTAGATGGCACCCCCGGATTGACCCGCCCGGGGGGAATCGGCAGTCGCCTTTTCCTGTCTCCCCCTCACATCTTCGTCTTTTCTCTTACTTTAAATCTTTCCTGTCCTCTACTCTCTTCCGTTGACTTCCATGTTTCCTGGTGGCAAGGGTTAACCCTGTGTGGCTATCCTACCTTGGATACACCATATTCGGTTATAGTGGTGGTGTACAGCTAGCATCTGCAGGGCCTGTGCTTACAGACCCTGCAGCGTCCCCTTGTAGGACTCCATGTTGGGTGGCTGGCGCCATTGCCGAAAATAAACCTTTTCTTATGGCTAGTTCCTTCCCCCCACTCCCTGATCGCCCTCAGAAAAGAGGGCGCACCGATGAAGTATTCCAGTTTTTTGGTCACCAGAGAGTATCTTTTCCCCGATTCCCCATTATCCACGCTGACACACCCAGCAAACCAGTGAGAACAATTTCACCTTTTCTTGTTTCGAAGTCTTTGACAGAAATCTTTGGCCCAGGATATAAAGCATCGAGAATGGCAAGTGGTGACCTCCCGTTGGAGCTCCGTGACCAGAAACAGTATGAAAAATTGTCTAATCTAGTGAAATTTGGAGATACCAAATTAATAGTAACCCCACACCGAACCATGAACACCACCCGTGGCGTTGTTTCAGATGATGACCTGTTAGGGCTTACGGAGGCTGAACTCCTGGAGGGTTTTAGCGAACTAAATGTCATCAACGTGAAACTAATTAGGATGAGGCGTGATGGCAAAGAAATCCAGACTAAGCACCTGATACTCACCTTCAATTCAAGTGTACTGCCCCACTCCGTTGAGGCTGGGTATATCAGGCTTCAAGTGAGGCCATATATACCAAACCCTCTCCGATGTTTCAAATGCCAGTGGTTCGGCCACAGTTCACAGAACTGCTGAGGCCGCCTAACTTGCGCGAAATGCAGTGCTGAAGAACACACATCAGATGCCTGTGAAAACTCTCTTCACTGTGCGAACTGTAATAGGGAGCATGCCTCGTACTCGCGGTCATGCCCATGCTGGGAAAAAGAAAAGGAAATTGTCACAATTAAAGTAAAACAAAACATTTCATTTAGGGAGGCACGAAGGCAGGTGTCCTGCCTACCAGAAACCAGCTTTGCCGAAGTGGCGCGTCAGGGGGCAGCGCCACGACGGCCCCCGGCGCCTGTCTGGCACACGCGTAGTGAGCCAGCGGTGACGCCATCCGCCCCCTCGGCGGTTGCAGCCAGTGCTGCTCCGCCATTCAAAAAAGACCCACCAACCTCCGGGCTGGGGGCCGCGAAGGTCTCGTCTTTTGAGGCGAGGCCTTCAAAACAAACGCAGCGCTCGCAAGAGCGCGTGTCCAGCGCCTCGCAAGAGGCAATGGACACAACACCGAGCGTGAGAGCGCAGCCAGCGCCTAAGGATCGGCGTGACTCCGTCGACCGATCCAAAAAAGAAAAATCTCGTGTCATGGCCCCTGGAAAAGGTCCGTGAGCTAACTTTCCATCCTTGAGCACACAGCACAAAACACATCTAAAATGGATACACAGATCTTACAGTGGAATGTGAGAGGACTTCTCCATAACCTCGATGATATTGTCACGGCTAAAGGCCGGGCAAGAAGACAAAGGACGACGAAGTGATGAGCGTGGACAGCAACCACGATTCCTCTGAGAAAGAAGAAGTCGAAGTGGCTGCTCTTTTGTTCTGTTACTACAGACCTCGTTTTTCTGGTCGCACCGTCATCCTGTGCTCTGTTATTTTCACCTAGCGACATTGGTGGAGGTGCTTGACTTCTCCAACTGATGCTTGGGACACCTCCGCGCCCTAGCACATCGAGTCCACCACCGCAATCCGTTCCTGCAGTGGATACTCCTGTCCACCGCTACAGTCGCCGACAGCGAGGCCTTAGTCCCGAGGTGATCCCGCTCGAACTTCTCCAGCAACACACCGTACCGGGAGAAATGGCTACCAGAGGGCCTTCACAGC